GCCGACCAAGCGACCGATCACAATGTAAATACTCAAAGAGCAGCAAGGAAACGAGAGCAACGAGAGTTTGCTCCAGTTCGCTCCGTGGAGAAAACAGATAGATAGATGAATGCTGATGCTAACGGCTGTACCGGGCGGCAGCTTGCGCCACCGCGACCAAAGGAGCAAACCCTTTCAGCAGACGACGCTGCGCAGGCGCAACAGGCGCAGTCGAATCTTTTTCTTGCTTCGATTACCACATGATAGATGGCGCTTGGCTCCGAGCTCTAACAGGGAAGCGGTGAGCAAGGTAGAATTTGAGGATAGGTTGAGGCTAATGGATGGGGAGCAATGGGCACGAAAGGTTTTCAGCTATTTATACATGAGGAGTGTAGACACAAAGTGGAGACAGCGCACTAGGAAATTAAGAGGAAGGTTTTTGGGCTATAGCGAAGATACGGAAGAGCAAGTCTCAGTTAAGAAGAAAGTTAAGGCCACAGAAAGAGATCGGTGGCTAGAGGGAATGCAGACAAAGACTGCTCTGGAAAGCTATAGATTAAACAAAAGAGTTATTGCCAAAGAAAGCATTTATGACAATTCTAGGGGAAGCTCATTGCTGTTTGAGGCAAGAACGGGTGTTCTGCGAACCAGAACATACAGAGTGAAGTACCAGGAAATTGATACAGTGTGCACTGCTTGTGGAGAGGAGGACGAGACGGCTGAGCACTTGATACTCTACTGTAAAGGGCTTCACCCTATGCCTACCGAAGACAACATAGATTTAATAAAGTCATTGGGTTTTAGAGACAGCGAAGGGAGAGTGGATTTCAAGACTGTAGAGATTACCAAGCAAAGATTAAGTGAATGGTGGCAGAAATCGAGAGAAAACTAGGTATTTTCTTAATCACTGATGGCAAGGGGGTTTTATAGCCTCACTTTCTTTGCACTGCGGAGTGAATATAGATTTCACATTTAAATATTCTAAGCTTAAATGGTAAAACAAAATGGCTAGGTGGCGTAAGCTACCGCCCGATCCAAAGGGCTCAGCCGTATTCATCCATCCATCCATCCAACGAAACTTTTCGCCGGCTGCTGGTTCTGTTGGGACCGTTGAGACACATGCATCGTAGTAAAAAGGCACAGAGCTTTCAAAGGAAAGGAGATGTAAATAGTCCGCTTTTCTTTTAAAAATTCTATGCCGAAAATATTTTTTTAGAGAACAAAACGTTAGGCGCGAACAAGCTGGTAAAGGCTTAAAGACAAAACACAAAACCGCGAGACTGAAAGCGGGCGGGCGCGGGCGGGCGGGGGTCCGGGAAGGACAACACAACCCAAACGCCCAAACTCTCAAACACAGCTGAAATTTATTGGACAGAATATCGTGGTTTTACAGGGTACAGGTGCCCCGGAAACCAAAAGGAAGGAAAAATGCAGAGGATGAACTTCTTTTCCCGAATGCACCAGAGAGGGTACGCCGGTACAGAGATCTTTCACCTCTCTCCTTTTGTTTGAGCAGTGTCCTCCCTCTCTTGCGCATTCGGGAAAACGAAGTTAATCCTCTGCCTTTTTCCCTCCTTTTGGTTTCTGTCTAATGAATTTCAGCTGTGTTTGAGACTGTGTTGTGTTGTCCCCCCCTCCCCTCGTTTCGGTTTTTTTTTTTTTTTTTTTTCTAAAACATTTTTTAGGTTCTCTATTTTTCTGTTTTGGTTATCTTTTCACATCCGTGCGATGTATGAAATTCGATTTCAAAATAGTTTCGTGGTCCCTCTAGACCATCAGAATCAGTGGAATCAGTAGACCAATCATGCCAGGGAGCAGGGCCGTACCCAGAAAAAAATTTCGGGGGGGGGGGGGTTTTCGGGGACAACGGCGGCCATTTTGTCTTATTTTCGCCTATGAATCATGTGCATCGGTGGCATATAATGGAGAGTTATAGCAAACCGAAGAACCGGTCCCGGTTTGGTACCCGGTAGCGGGAGGCACTCACTTGATCGAATGACGTTTTAGCGAACGCCCACGTTTCATCGAACGACACTTTAGCGAATAGTCAGAGGCCGCGAAGCGGCGTTTTCGGGTGGGCCAAGTGAGTTCATATTTTTGTAATGAGTTGCCGTAGACTGTCGCCGCGAAGCGGCGTAAAGCGCAGCGCGACGGATGGGTTAACGCGGGCCCCAGTTATTCGCTAAAACGACCATTCGCTCAAATGTCGCCTTTCGCTAAAATGTCATTCGCTCTTCTGATATGGACCCGGCCCTGCCAGGGAGTTCGGCTACGCCGCCGCTGCCGCAATGCAGCGAGGCAAGTAGGTCCCGGGTTCGATACCCAGACCAGGCGGATTTTTTCGGTCGCCTACCAGTCACCTAGCTGTGTTTGGAGATTTGTGTTTGTCCTTTGTCCCTCTTGTTCCCCTTCTCCAGGGATTATTTTCGTCATTCTTCTCCAGCTCGCTTGCACCTTTGCATTTCATTGCATTATGATCATAGTCTTTCCCCACGTGCGAGTGCGACAACCACGCGACCACGCCGCTAGTGCGCGCGTGCGCAAGATGGCGGGAGCTGTCTTGTGCACTGCCTCCTGGGAGTTATGACGGAGTCACACATATGCGCCGACAAAATGATTGGAATTGGTCTGAATTGTCAAATAGTGTGTAAATATAATTTTGCATAGGCCATGTAATGCTTGCAGGTTCAAAGGGAATCAATCATTTATCAGAGGTTAAACCAATTTCATATCTTGTACACGCTCTCATCACTTTTTCGCATTTTTTCTGGCCAGTGTCCGGAGGCTCAGCTCACAATAATGTGCACAAGAGTTCAGTGGCGTAGCCAGGATTTTATTTCGGGGGGGGGGGGGGGGGGGGGGGGGTTCAACGGCATTATTTATTGGGGGAAGGGGGGGCCTCCGGCCAATAAATAATTGGCGGAGGCCCCCCCCCCCCCCCCCCCTTCCCCCAATTCCCTCCCCTCTCCCTTGCTTAATGACAAAGCAGGGTGAGCTCGGCGGTACGGACGTTCACGCTCATGCAAATTTTAGGCATGTTTAAAAACTGAACAGGCTTTATTTACAAGAATACGGGCGTAGTGGCTGACTGTTTTACTGTTGTAGTTCTGGCCCATTGACTGTAAAAGCTTCCTCCCAGCACACAACTCCTTCCGATTTTTGAGGTACCACTACATTACCAATGTGTTCCATCCAGAGAAAACACAAGGATAGCGACATACTGTCAACAGAAATTAAGCAGCAAAAGTGAGCATTTTCTACCCCACCAACACTTTTCCCAAAAACATATAAGTTACATACACACACACAAAGAAAGCGCCTGGGATTGCTTGTGTACTATGGGTATTGCTACACGACCAAATTTCTGCCGGAGCTGTCATCCCCTGTCATATTCATACAGTAGCATAAATCGGGAGTCTAGAGAAAACTGCCGGATTCTATTGCCTGCATTTTCCCATCATACAGGAAAACAGCCAATTATTAACAGAGAAACAGCTCAAACTAGGGACAACAACGTAAAGATTCAGTGAAGGAAGCCATTTTCAGAGTGTCCCATTTTCTGCAATCAAGAACCATTTTTTTTATATTTCAAAAAAGTTTACTCCAGCTTAACGTACCGAAACAGATTACAAGAACGCAGACATTTTGCAACCTATGCGGTTGGCATCTTTCTTCAGTATGCACTGGCCACAATGGAGAAGGCCAGCCAGTCTACCCATCCTATAAAACCCTGTAAGCGTACGGTAAGGTGCCACAGTTGACATTGCACGCTGTTGACTCATGGAGGATAAACCAGGATTCTACAAACTTTCACGGCCCCATCTCTGCTCCCGTGGCAAGGTCGACGCATAGTTGAAATCCTAAGCATGACCCCTTCGTCAAGAAATGATAGACCAGGTCAGACTTCGCACGTGCAGCTTGTGTTGAATTGGCAAGATGTCTTCTGTGTTCCTGCAGAAGGGTGCTTCTTCGTTTACCAGTCTCACCAATGTAAGTGGCGTCGCAGTAGATATTTGACTACCAAAGAAAAAAGACAAGCCTGCTATGTACGGTGGCAAGACCCAGCAATTTGCTGGAATAAGCAAACTACACTAACAACGAAAGGGACAGGACAGAGTGTCTTCTACCACGAGTGGCCGAAAAATCCCAACAGAACAAATCAGCGTAGCCACGCATTGGAAATAGTCGACGCTCCCCCTTTGCTCCGTACCCCGTGAAAAACCGACTGTGTGAGCAGGGGAGCGAGCGGGCCCGGGGGGGAGGGGGAGGGTTTCGACTTTTCAAACCCACCTCCCCTGCCTATGCCACTGCAAGAGTTACCTGCAATGGACACATCATCATCATCATCTATGCAGGCCTGTTCTTGGCACTCCCACAATGGCAACTTCATGTAGTTTGCTTGAAAAAAGCGCCAATACTTATCAAGCTGTGCGTGCATGTCATGAGGAGGGACAAAAGGTTCCTGCAAAAAACTGACAGCAAAGGATGCAGAAGTCATTGGCACATAATTTTTCGAGTGTGTTTAACCCGGGTTTGTGTCTAGGATGCATGTGCTGGTTATCTGTAATGAGCCTTCTAATTTGTCAAAAAAAACACTCCTGGGATTGTTCGCTCGGATGGCTTCAGAATGCTGGCAAGACCAACATGAGAGAGGTCTTTAAGGGGCGACGGTGGCCCAAACCCCTTGCCTATCACCTTCGCACTTCCAGAGGTCAACCTGCACGTCCAATCTCTCGCAGCTGTAGAATCTCCTGCCCGTGAGCTCGTAAACTAGAGACCTCTTATGGCCGTGGAAGGAATCTCTCATCCAGCATCTATGTGGATTCTCGTTTGCTCGAGTTGGCTGCAATTGGAGAACCTGTTCGATGCATGGCCTTTCAGGTTTCGGGAAAGTTGCCAGATTTTGGCACTTCTTTAGACTGGTTTCAAGCAGTTAGTATCACTTGCTAGTCACTTACCCAGCCTAATCCAGTTCCCCTCAAATCCTGGGATGTCTGTTTGTGCGAAGATCAGAAAACGAATGGCACGAAGGACTGGGACTTTATATCGGCAAAACAAGTTACAGAATGTTTTCCTCCCTCGTCTCAGCCTCATGCTCTACTACGGCCCCATTTTTCTGGTCGTTCATTGTTCGACAAATCTAACCCAAATAAAACAAAGTGCAATAAATCAGTCGTCGTCAGTTCTTGCACGGAGAGAGCGAGGCTTGCTCTTTGCTGTGTGTTTCTCCACAGGAGCAGGCTGCATCGCACCCGGTTCCTCACTTTGAACTGCATGAGGATCATCATCACCATCATCATCATCGTAGTCGTAATTAAAGGACAGAGCACTGGACGCCGCCACCACACTTTGGGCGCCGATTTTGTGAAGTGCTGGCTTCCTGCCGGGCGCCCTGGCTCCAACCACGCACTCGGGCATCACAATCTTGCCCGGACGGGAAATCAACTGCTTGACGCCGGTATCCACGTCCATTTCATCCTTCGAACGCCTGTGAAATACGTGCCGCGCCTGACCACCATCGGCCTGATCCACGTCGGCATCGTTACCGGATTGCGACCGTCTTTCCCGAAGATACTCCAAAGCGGCCGCTTTGTTGGTGGCCTCCGACATGTCGTCTTCGGACACGTCCTCTAAACTGTACTTGGTCCATTTCTCGGGATGCAGTTTGAAATCCGGTGTCCCGCCGCCGACACCGAACGGCGGCGGCTTGCGCTTGCGAGGCGCGCAAGCGTTACTCCAGGGTCGCTTAAACGCTGCTGGGGGCTCTGACCGTTTTGTGATCTCTTCCGGTGCTTCCGGGTCGTCTTTGAGCAGCGATGCGGCACTCGCTGAACCTTCGTGGTCGCGTTCCCAGGCCCTGTGCTTCGCTTCCAGTCCGTTGAGCGAGTCGAACACGGAGTTCATGCGGTTGGAGAAGCCACCTGCGTCTCCCGTCTGTAGCTGGAAGCTGGTTGTCTGCCGAAGCTCGCCACGGTTTAGCTGGGTCATCTCGTCGAGAGTGTTGTCACGGGGAAGATATTTTGAACGAGTACCGAAGGCTACCGGAGGTTTTTGGTTAAAGGCGATCGTAACAGTTACGAATCCACCGTACGATCATCAGTACGCTCGTACGGCGCCATTTTAAATACTGGCGGGTGGACACACAGCAGTGGCTAAACTATTTACATTTGACGGTAGCTTGCGCCACCTAGCCTAAAAACATTTACACTTTTTGATGTTGATGATAGTTCAAATTGTTTTGTGTTATTTTAAACTTGGACTTTACTGCAAGGGCAGTCACCAATAAATTACTACTTGACGTATTAGAATTATTAATTGCCGCAAAAATCATTTAAACATCTCCATTTAAATTTAACACTAGTCTATCTAATACTTACAGTTCACGCACGAAAAACTAAATGCTAAATATGTTTTATAACAATGCAAAATGTATGTATATATTTGTGTTCAAAATAAAGATTCATTTTTTAAAGTTTACAACACATCTACGTTTACAGGAGGGTCATCGATATCACAAACTGTTTCGCCATCTAGCGTGACGCGGTTGAAGCTTCCACTGTTGTTTCACGTTGCGTGGTGCGAGGAGCTCGAACTCTCTTTTTCGGGGTGTGCCGACGTTCACGATATAACACGAATCGAAAAACAACAACATAAGAAAGCCATGAGTGGTGGCGTCTACGGCGGAGGTGAGTTGACGAAGCCAGCCTGCAGTTCCCGTATTAGGTCCAGTTTTCGGTGAACCGCCAGACACAGCGCCTACTTAGAGGCCGCGCATGTGACGTACCGGCTTCCAAGCATCGAACTCTATTTACCTTTTTCCTTTTCCGAAATCCTGGTTTTAGATTAATGGAATGATAAACCTCTTCGCTTTACAAGAACCCACGAGCACCCACAGCAGGTTTTCAAGCGAGAGGCTCGTGCCAGCGCCCGTAGTACTACTGCCCGCGCGTTCTCTGCAGTTCAAGCTTCGCGAACAGACGCTTTCTGATTGCGGATTACAGGAGCTAACTGTTACTTGCGATCGTAGTGCTCTGATCATAAGCAGCATTTTGTGTAATATGTTCCCTCTTCTGCTCGCAGTAGAATTCAGAGTCCAAACAACAGTGAAGGTTGCCCACACCACCAAGGCCTTTCGGTCTTGAAATGTGCGCGAGAGAAGTTCACTCCAGCCATTGAGACGTTTCCGTACGAGAGCGACTATGGTGCCTGTGACGCGTCTGTGACTGTTGTGTTTACCGCGTCCTAAAAATTGGTCCCTCTATTTCCGCGTGATGGCGTCATAAAAGTGTCATTACAAGAATGGACACTTGGGCTAGTTGGTAAACGTTCATGATGAAAAACAGCGCGAAACACAAGGACACAGAAAAGAAGAATACATACAGGACAAGGCGCTGTCCTGTATGTATAACAGCGCCTTGTCCTGTATCTGTTTCTCTCCTCTGTGTCCTTGCGTTTTGTGCTGTTTTTCTTCACAAGAGTGTCATGTCGCCGGTCGCGATCCAGGCGGTGTCACAACAGCGGTGGCGGAAGTGGCGAACCCCCATTCCGCTGTGGGTCGCTGTCCAGCTTGACAATCCACGGAAGCGTCCGACGCGAGGAGCTGGCACCCTGCAATGACAGCGACACTCTCGTTCGCTCGTGCCTTTTGGCGGTACTTCTAGCACCATTGCAATTATCTCGACGTCGGATAACACGAAAAGCCGGCTTCTGTGAGGTCAATGTTGCCACTTTAGGATCTCTTCGACGCATGAGCGGGACAGGACACTAAACGCACCAGTCGAAGCCGCGTTCCAGGCATCGTGGCACAACCGACTGCATTACGGCTCGTTTCACAATTATGCGTTGCGCAGACATTGGTTGCCGTAGTGGCCACATCGTCGCAGGCTGTCCCAAGCGGTCATAACGCAGAGTTCCACACTCATACGTAAATGTATGAACCAGCCTTTAGTTGGTATATGAGCAGGTAGCGAGGTCGAGTCGACGATCTCGTTTCTAATTTCGTGTGCACGCTAAGAGTGGAAGGTCTTGGTTGATTGTGTGGCACTAATGATGATGATAATAAAGGGTGACTACAGCAGAGCCAGTTTCGCCTAGTGAAATTTCAAGGCACAGTTCTCTTCGCGTAAGAAATGAGACCAATAAAGCTGTCAAATGTAACTTGTGGTGCCATCTCCCAATAGATGCAGCTAGCAGACAACAGAGTGCATTTGTCCCTAACTCGGTTGTCTGTGAACACGACTGGCGTTGACTTTGGCAGCTTTGTTGGTTTCATTTCTTATAGGAAGAGAACTACGCCTTGAAATTTTTAAAGGTAAAACCAACAATCTGCACGCACTTTGGGTGAAAGTTTGAACTTTCTATATGCATACGCTGATTTTTCCTGCTCGTTTTATGGCTTGAGATGCACTGTAGCCACACTATATTTATTCTCACTCAAAGAACGATGCACTCCTATTAGGTGAACAACAACCAACAATATTGGCCGACACAGTGCTATGAGCCTTTTCAAGACCCCTGGTAGGACAGGTGCCTCGAAAAGACTCTTATGTGACAAAACAAACTTTCCTCGATGAAAGAGAATTTGTAGTGCAATATTTTTGTCGTGAGGCTCATTTAAATGATTCTGAAGCATGCTTCTATATCTGGGTAAATTTCTCACCATAGCGGCATACTTTGGAATCGCTCCTAACTGAAAATGAGTCCCGTGACGTTAATATTGCCCTAACAAATTTTTTCTTTTTCGAGGAAAGCTTATTTTGTGACGTACATATGTCCTATCCAAGTGCCTGAATTTATTTTTGGTGTTGCTACAAAAGTGCTGTATGACTGTAGGCTAAATCAGTCGCAGTGTGACTATCTAATTTGCTCGAATTGGTGTAAGCATTGTTTAAGTCCTATTTTGTGCTAGTATTCTTTCGTGTCACCTCGTACCAATGTGTGTGCTTATGATTGTTCTTTTGTTTCTGTGCTCACCCACCCCTGTAAAAGCCCTACTAAAGGCTGGCATTATCATTGCATAAATAAGTAAATTAAACATCTGAATTCATTCTGAACGGATAGATGATGCACCAAATAAAACCTATGGTCACTGATAGATTGAGAACGACAGGGCATGTCTTCCGAATGCCCAGCCCCCTTCACATGCTTCGTGCGTTCCGCAGTGCTTTGACTGTGCGTGCGTGCTCGAGGTGCACAAGGCACCGAAGCGTCAACGAAGGTAGGAAGCCCCTACTGGAGGCGGGACAACCAAAGCTCCTCCCTGCTGTTCTCGCCCTGTCGGCGACCATAGTGTCTGCTGTACTCCACTCACGCGCTGTTCCGTTTCTAGCTTTGCTCTCGGGAGTAGAAGGCGGTGGGGGACAGCGTTTCGTAACAACTGTCCTTGTTGTCACGGCAACAAGGACGACCGAAGTACGCATTGGAATCGCTCATCCCGAAATGTTCTGGCCAGGGCTAGAACACCACGACATTCTAATGGTGACGCTCACTTGTGGTGCCTTGTGTCTCGTTTTTCTAGATGAGGTCGGAGCGCTGGTGTTTGACCTCGGCCACTATTCTGTGCGGGCCGGCTACGCGGGCGAAGATTCTCCAAAGGTGCGTGAGGAAACTTCTTGCTCAAAACCGCTGATGCGATTGAACCATTCTCTTCCGGCAGGCCATAAGTAGGGTTCCGTGTTTTCGGTAGATGCCGCTAAACCCTGAGAAGTAACCCTCGAACCGATGTTTGTCGAAGTCTGGGAAAACTGAGAAAAACCCAAATTGGAGCTGCCCTTGAACGAAAAAAAACGAGCTTCACAGGAAAGAGTCTTCGTCTGCAGCTTTATTTTATGTTCACCCAGTACTTGGCCCCCATTAAACTGTCCGCGAGGCTGCTGCTTTCTTCGGGAACCGTATCGCTTATAATTATCTTTTCTCACCGGTACCAGGGCGTTTTCCAGGTGTTCGGGTCGTGTGCACATTCTCCGGGGATTGGGGAATCCAGTGCTCGTATCCCATTCTCTTCTACATAAGCCCCGATAAAAAGCACTTTTTTGTCTGACGCCAAACGTCGACACTGAAAAACACAGGATTTGTGTGAACAAATAAACCCCGGAAGAACATCCCCAAATCCAAAGTAGTGTGCGGTGCGGCTTGGTTTTCTTGTCGGTTATGACTCCCCGTCCTCGACGAATCTGGAAGATGTGGGATTTGAAGTTGTGGGGTTCTAGCCGAAAGTTTGTCTAATCCCGCGGAAAAACATATAACTACCCTGGTCTTTCTCCCTTTTTTTTTTAAGTTAACACCTTATTTATTTTTATTTTTTGATGTCGTCACCTCTAATGTCGGCACATTTTTTTGGACGATATACAGAGTTTTTATAGCACTCGCTAAACTTGTTCTACATTGGTTATCGAGCGGTTCCTGGAACTATGTCATGACTAGGGATGCCGCAAACTTTTGTCGAACCTCGGTAGATTCATTGTACGGAGCAATGATTCTCAAACTTTTGGCTGTCGCGGACCTCCTGACCTACTCGGAGGTTGTTTGGGGGCCCCCATGAACACCCTCGAGGTCCCCTAGGGGTCCACGGACCAAGGTTTGAGAACCGCTGGTATGGAAAAACACATTCACATTGGTGGCAATTACGTTGAAATGTTCTGAATAAGTTATTTTTCAAAGGAAAAAGAAATATCGGGGCAACTATATTATTTCCGGCGAGTTAAGCGGACTTCTGGACCTTGCTATATATCTTAAAAGCAGAATAGACATACCACACCTGAAGATTAATTTCTGTCACTGACTGATCTGTCTCTGACTGATTGGCTGTCGCTGACCGATTCATGGCTGAGCAATTGTTGCTGACCAATCATTGCTGACCAATTGGTTATCAGTGACTATGCTCACAGAGTACTTTTTGTGATATTTCAGGAGTAGCGAAAAGTGCGTGGGGACGGCTTTGGCAGGCACTCCAGTTGCGTGAGCGCTTATGCACCCATAGCTTTGCTGCATAGTCACGGAAAGTGGTCCACGAGTATAGTCAGTTGCTGACTGATCTGTTGCTGACCGATCTGTTGTTGCTGACTGATTCGTTGCTGACCTATCGGTTGCCAACTTGCCGGTCGCCGCTGACCAATCCATTGCCGATAAAATTGTTTGCTGACCGATCGGTTATCATTGACTAGTTAGTTGCTGATTAATATATTGGTGACCGATTCGTTGCTGACTGATTGGCCTTCTCCGCCCAGGCGGAGATCCCCAGTGCGGTAGGTGTGATCGAGGAGCTGATCGGCGATGGGCCCGAGGCCGACTCGAAGGAGCTGGGTGCTGCCACGCCCCAGTCCCAGAAGAAGTACTTCCTGGACACGACGAGCATTCACGTGGCACGGGCAAACATGGACATGTCCACTTTCCTGAAGGACGGCATGGGTGGGGGCCTTTGACTCTTCATAGGTTTCGAAGCGATGGCTTTACATCGGAACCCTCCACGGAACTTCTTTGCTCGCATTGGCCTGGCCATAGCAAGCAAGGCCACGGAAAGAATGTCAGCGTCTCAGAGAAACTGTGTTGCTGACACTCTTCGTGTTTGGCACTCTGCCATGGCTGACATTTTCCATGGCATGCTATGACGTCATCTTATGGGAAGAAGTGTCGGCAAGTGGGAGCTAATACATTGCCGACGCTCTTTCTGTGTTTTGACTTTCTCTCGCTGTTGACATCCTCTCCCATTGTGCGCTATTTGTTAAACAGTGGAGGGAGTGTTAGCAATGTAGAGCAGCCCAGTTACCGATATTCTTTAATGTTTGGCTTTTTCTCTGTGGCTGAGACTCTTCCATGGTGTACACAGCTATAGCAGGGGTGGGACAGCTGCGCCAATTGTGCCATTTTGATATATTCTCAATTTTCTGCGCCCGGCGGCGCCCAAAGTCGGGAAATCAACCTGGATTGCGCCGCGCTGTGCCAAAGATCATGGTGACGCTAGATTTAGCAGAAAAGGAAAGCTCAGTTAACAACCTTGGTTATTTCATTGCCGGGTGGCACAAGCCGCCGCCACCCGATTCCTTGGTTCGGTCGTATCTGTCCATTAATCCATCCATCTGATGGCATCGATGTATACATCCCGATGCATCCATAGATCCTTGCCGTCGTACTGCTGCACCATACATCGTACATGCCAACATTGCGTACATACTATAATGCAGCATTAAGGTTCACAAGTCGTACGCCTCCATTTTGAATCGAAACTTGTTCCTAAATTAACACATCTTTCTGCTTGCAATTTTAGATATCTCGCAGTAAGATTACATATTTAATACTTTCCAACACCCGTACAAACCTAGCTTACTCGAATTGTAGCTCGTTGTACTACTGGCTAAGACGCTTTCATAAAATAACATCACAGTTGCCTGTTAGGTGCTCCGAAAGGAAGATTTTCTCTATTGTCAGTGCTTTGAAACGCAAATTTTTTGCCCCCGAGTTGCTCCAAACTAGGAAATTTTCTGCTCCCAGTCTGCACCGGAATGCAAATTTTTCTGCTCCCAAAATTGCTGCCAAAGCAGTTTGATCTGTCCCGCTCCTGCTAAAGTCACCGACAGAATGATGACAGCGGGGCGTGCCTTTTGAACACCCCGCCTCCTGCATGTGCTCCATGCTTTCCGCTGTGCTTTGGTTGCATGCACATACTTGAGGTGGACGAGATGTAGAAACATTGTCGAGGCTAGCAAGCTCGCGCTGGATGCCAGACAGCTGAAGCTCCTCTCTGCCGTTCTCCTCTTGTCAGTGGCTAGAGCGAGCGTGGAAGCATTTCAGGGTCAGACTGTACGCGTGACGGCATTTCAGAGAAAATGATGTGATACCTCCAAAAACGAAGGAGGAGAGACGTCCATCGTACAATCACAATTCTTTCGCCACATGTCGCGTGGCATGGTTTTTGCCAAAATAGCGAGTGCTGCTCATTAAAGGCTCCGTCAGTTTCTACTGCACCTTCACTGCATTTGATGAAATATCTAAACCAAGCAAATTTCGGCCGTTGCTTCTTAGAGCGCAGCTCTTAGGCGCCCGTTTCCGGCTTGAGCGGCGTCGCCATCGGCGTAACCGCGCGGTGCATGATGGGTAAATTTCTCTGCTAAATTTAGCAGAAAAAATTTGCCACTAAATTTTGCGGAAACTTTTTCTCGCTAAATTCAGCGGTTTAGTGGAAAAAATTTCCCGCTATATTTAGCGGAAAAAATTTCCCATTAAATTAAGCGGAAAATTTTCCCTGCAAATTTAGCGGAAAAGTTTCCCCGCCAAATTTAGCGGAAAAAATTCCCCGCTAAATCTAGCGGAAAAATTTGCCCGCTAAATTTAGCGAGGAATTTTTTCCGCTAAATTTAGCGGACAATTTTCCCCTAAATGGTGGGAGAGCAGGAGGGGCATAGCCCTCTCTCCGCGCCTTCCCCTCCTCCTCCTCAAGAGCTGCGCTCTAATTCGGTGTTACAGGGAGTTCTAAACGGCTTTCATTTTTTTTTGCGGGAAAAGTTTATTTCGGGAAGTTTAAACGAGCGTCTCAGCATGGTGCACCGAGATGCTCGACGACCGAAGCGTTTTGCTCTTTGTTTTCGCCGATGTCTGGTCGGGTCATTGCTCGTGCCTCCAGGTAATGCTCGAGCTTCGGAGCTAGGCGATTGTCGTGGTGTTTCCGACGCCTTTTTCTGTGCCGCAGTGGAGGACTGGGACCTGTTTGAAAAGCTTTTGGACTACACGTACAGCCGCCACATCAAGTCTGAGCCCCACCTCCACCCTGTGCTCATGTCCGAAGCAGCGGTAACTACCCACTCTTTTTATTTTAGTACAACAGTGATTGCTGTTATGGGCTCTTTCCCCCACCAGAAAGGATGCCCCTTGTTGATGGTGTAGTTGTAATTGTTTTTGCTCTTGGAAAAGGATTGCCCGCCGCCCAGGGTAATCGAATTCGGGTCCGCTGCGTGCGGAGCGGAGGCATTACCACTGAGCAGTGCCACAGCATTAACAACCCTCTCGATACTTTGGGTTTTTGCAGTACCCAATGCCCACTGCACGCGCTCTCCGTAAAAAAATAAATAGCCGATAACAAAATGCCATTCTAGCAATGTCAATTCCCAGAGTTCGTGCCGGAAGATGCTCTTTCATGCGCTCCGGATTAAAAAAGAAACAAGAGCTTCCGGAACGAAATATGTAGTAGTCAAATGTCTATTTTGTTCCAAACGCTTTTGTTCAGGTGCGTGAACGCAACACCAATCTCCAACGACTCCACCGTGACGTGTCGCAATTATATCTGCGATTGTACTGTGGACTAACGAAGGACTGCTCAATCTTGGTCGCACATTTTACGTAAACGAGAAAGGGGAAGAGGCGACAATGAAGAGGCGAAGAGGAATGCCGTGTTGCTTGTGTGGTTAATGTCCAAACTAAAAATGGAGGAGAGTGTCACAGCTTCCATGTTTGTTTTTAGAGGAATTTACGTTTTTTTTTTTTTACATGACCAGATTTGCTACATCTATTTTGAACATCCCTTTACTGATTTTCAGTCACTCGTATACGTGTGCTTAATTTAATTGAAGGTTAGAACGAAGTTGGCGCTACGGACCATCGGGGCTGGGTGTTTTATCGGGATTTTGAGAGTGGGCACTCTTCGACCCTGTGGCCCAGACTCCAAGGGGAAGCGTGATGTCTGTCCTTAGTTTGTTTTCCCCTTCCTCTGTTGCTTTCAGTGGAATGCACGCACCAAGCGGGAGAAGATCACGGAGATCATGTTTGAGAAGTACGGGGTGCCGGCCTTCTTCCTGGTGAAGAACGCAGTGCTGGCGGCCTTTGCCAATGGCCGGTCGACGGGCATCGTGGTGGACAGCGGGGCCAGCCAGACGTCCGCCATTCCGGTCCACGACGGATACGTCCTCACTCAGGGTGACGATCCTCGCACCTCTCGAAAGAAACCTTTCGCTTTGTTTTTCTCTGCAAACAATGCGATTGTGCGGGGAAAAGTTAATTGATGGTTGTCTTCGTTCACTTACGAAGCATTATAAATGGGCTGTAGACATTGCTGTGTTTGTTCACAAGAAAAATCTCGAGCTTTGAAGCGTTGTAAAAGGTAGGAAACTTGCACTGGAGGCGGGACAACTGAAACACCCCCTTGCCACTCTTACCTTGTCAGTGACTGTAGACGCCCTTTGAAGGGAGCATTCGGTTCTTCCACAGTGTGAGAGGTGTCCTGTGGGTGCTGGATTTGCTACTGCAATTTTAAAGTATAAGCTTAGCCAAGTTTACATTTTTTTGTTTATGACTTAAGGTTCAGTGATGCCTCTTTTTTTAAAAAATCATCAAATGGCATCATGGGCCATTGTGACGTTTATTTCGGCAGAAAGACTGGTGGAAAGAAAAGGAAACAAAATTTTCTCTTGCTTTATCTCTTTCGTTTGGTAGACCTGTACACCGCCGTGACTCTCCATGCCCTTTGACGGTTTTATGCGGGCTAGGTGTAGCTGATAAAAAAACAATGTTTTTTTTCTTAGTATTATTTTACTTGGATTAACTAATCCTTCGATATATTTTACTAAAACAAATGCTCCCCCTAGTCACACGTCCATACTAGACTACATCGCGATCTGTTAACAAACCGGTGTACCATATTTTCCGGTCTGAGTTGCACCGCCTTGTCAACAGCCGTTTTAACATAAAAGTTGCAGCCGCCTCGGTGGCTCCAAGGCAAGAGCGCTGGCCTACGGATCCTCATGAGGCGGGTTCGAATCCCGGTCGAGGTGCCCGCAATCTGACGGAGGCTTATTGTGGAGGAGGCGCCGTGTAACCGATCTTTCGGTTGCACGTCAAAAGATCCCCAGGTGGTCCAAAGTAATCCTCAGTCCTCCGCTGGGGCGTGCCAGATGCCCGTCGTTGGTTTGGCACGTAAAACCCCCAAATTTGACTTTGACATAAAAGTTGGTACTTATGTCGCACCTTCGCGTAAGTCACACTTATATATTTCCAGAGTCCGCAAGGCGAAACTGCATTGATAAGCCTGCATATGCACATTGTGATCACAATATACGCAACAAGCGGGAGCTAGTTTCAGTATTCTTGTCTACGGATTGAACGAAAGACACAACCGCCGTGGCAAATTTGCACAGTTAAGGTCCATACTTATAGAAAGCAAGGCGTATCAGTCGCACCGTTGTATAATACGCACCGACAGAAATTTTGAAGTAAAAGAAACATAATTATACACCAAAAAATATGGTGTCCGGTTCCTTCAAGGGGCCGATGCGTTGTCAAGTGCACACTGAAGCTCTGTGTAACAGAAGGCCGTTTCTGTTGTCACCTCTCTTCCAGCCGTGGTAAAGTCTCCCCTGGCTGGCGATTTCATCTCGATGCAGTGCAAGCAGTTCCTCGAGGAGCAAGGCATTGACATTGTGCCCACCTACATGCTGGCTAGCAAGGCAAGTGTTTTTCTTCTCAGTTGCATCACGGACCTTAGATTCCTTGATCTAGATCAAGGAATCATTGTGCCATGGGAAAGATTTTTCTAGGAAGAAATTGAAGCAACATAAGTGCACGGCTAACATTAGGAGTCACCCAATCTGATTGCTAAGAAAACCTAATGGATGTGTCTGGGTTCGGAGAATTTTTGCCTCTCAGTGTCGTTGTACAGTGTAAACTAACAGATCTTGATAGTGATGAAGATTTTGGTCTTTTATAAAAAGAGTATGCTGAATGCATATACTCTTACTACACACTTAATGGTGGATTGTGACTGGAGTCTGCTCTAACCAAGTGAGACTTACAAAAAGGTGGGGGGATATTAGAAAAGAACTGGTTTATTGAAACTTCTGAACTTTAAAAGGTAGTGATTTTTGATTGAGCTGTTCTGACAATTGTCAGCACTGCACACTTTGGATCATACGAGGCTCACAATGGGCACTGAGCGCGATGACAGCAGTTTACAAAAGGGATGCCACTGGTACGGAACCAAAACCGCATAACGCCCGAAATAATGACTGCCGGTAAAGAGTCCGCTGTAACTGAAGGGTGAACGATCTACAAACTTGCTATACTAGTCCATTATATAAGAATATATGTTGTAACAGGGGCTCTTATGAGTGAAGTTTGTTTAATGGCACAAATAGGAAGACTAACCAAACTTCACAAATCAGTAGGGCTTTACCGAATGTCTCATGAGCTGTTGTAATGAGGTTATACCGTAGTTAGAGCTGCTAACTAAGCTGCGCTTCAGACTAAGGACACTTCAACCACCTTGCTGCTTAACATTATTGTAGCTAGTTAATCAAAGCTTTATCCTAACTTGCAGGAAATTTTTTCCATCCTTCTGGGGCCCTAAACTCGTCAAACACAAAGTTTGAGCCGAAAGTTTGCGGAGCACGCCGAAGGGATGGTGGCGAAAAAAGCGCAAAGTAATCGTTGAGATAGTCCAATCGGTGCGCTTCGTGAACTTCGAACCCAACTTTGTGTTTGACGAGTTTAGAGCCCTAGCAATGTTAGAACATTCTTCGACAAGATGGTATTGACCGCACTTCATGACGCCGCATCGAAACCTCGGGAAGTCACATTTTCAAATCGTAACCATCGCCGACCGCACCCGCTGTGTACTAGGCAACAAAATGGCGGCACCCGCAAGACGGTCGGGGCAATGGATTGTTGTTACTCTAAGCTAGGTGTTCTCAAACTGTCCAACCTCGATGAATTAATATTCAGGGTCTTCGGACTAACGCACCAATGCCAAGACCTCCTGGTCTTGGCATTGATGCATTAATGTGATGCAGCAGCCAAGCGACGTTCACAATAATGAACATTTTATCGAGAGTGTTTGGCCCTTTGCTATGCATCACAAGATGGCTCTGATCTTCCCAAATGCCACTTAAAACTGGAAGAACTCTTTATCTAGGTGCAGGGACGACGGAGGAAATTTGGGAGTTTGGGGAAACCTTGACGGTACTCTGGGATCTCCTGGCTTCCTAGGAACCCAGTTTGAGATTCCATCCTCTAAGCTTAGCTTATAGTTGTAGCCAAGCAGCACGCAAGCTGAGGGGTGCTACGGAGAAAGGTGGCTTCAACACCCTCGGAAGTCGGAACCGACGGAACAGACAACGGGTTGCGCAGCCGCCTACAAAAGCGTAACTCTGCTGCAGGAAGCTGTGAAGGAAGGCGAGGCACCCCGATGGACCAAGAAGAACAACCTCCCCGACGTGAACAAGTCGTGGCACAACTACATGGTCAAGGTGAGGGAGACGAGACCTCTCTTTCTCTTACGTCTGTCGACCACGCTACTTCTTCCTCCAGTGGCGGTTTTCACATTTGCTGCACAGACGCGTGGCCGTGGCATGTAGCTGAGCTCCTGACCATTTTGAATTGGTAGGGGCAGTGTTGTGTAAAGTTGAGAGGTTATGTGTTTTAAGTAAAGTAGCAAGTACACAAGGCTCAATGTGCTTGAAGTAAAGTACTATACCGTATTTTCCAGTGTATAAGTTGCGTTTGTTTTCAAACATTTTTCTTGGTGTGTTTTATACAATGATGCGTCTTGTATTCCTTTTTTCTTAATTCACGGTACAATGCCATTTCTGTATGCGCCGCGTGCCATCTTTCGTAGAGCACCATAACTATGTAGCCACAGGTGGTGTTGCAGGAGGCACTCTTGTTGCCGCACTCTTCCACACTTTTCATAACTGACTCGGAAAGCTAGAAATTAGATGGTTTCCCTGACGCGGCTCAATGTGGATAGGCAAGACAGTGAGAATAAAGCTATTACAGCGTGTGATCGACATTGCCTAATTCAGCCATGGTTCCGTATTCCTTTGCTTCAGTCCAGTAACACTAAAAGGCAGAAAATTTTTTAAAGTCTTTCTTTGTTTCGTTCTGCGAAGCAGCTTTTTTTTTTGCCATGCTCCAGCCATGTTGCTACATGTAAAAGGAAAGATTGTGGCGAGCTGATATTTTTGCGGCTTCAAAAGAAGTGTGTCAAGATTTATCTACTATCTCCCTGCGCGTCGATGCTCGTGTCGTCTCCGTGACTTAGCTGCGGCAAGGCCTAGTGGTCCGAAGCTTGGTTCACAAGTGTCCGGCTCGTTACACTTTTGTTTGCTGGAAAAAAGCCAACCACCTTCTCATTTTGCGCGTTTTACATCCTTTTGCTGCTAAACACTCGATTTGCCCTTCCCCACCATACAGCGCCGTGCTATGAACATTTCTTGCGAGTCGAAACGTCAAAGTTGCTGTGCGATCTAGCCGATAGTGCGAAACTTCGATTTCGCGATACCGATGCTCGTAAAACGAAAAAACTCATCGCGTGAACCGTGCACTTTTCCATAAAAACGGCTCAATATAACGGATGTGCAACTTATGCAACTGTGCAACTTATAGTCCGGAAAATACCGTATATACAAAATAGTTTCAAAGTAAATTGCAAGTAATTTTTACACAATCTTTCACGATGCCCTTCCATTTCCTTTTTTGTTTTTTTTCTAATCTGGCGTGGCTCAGAGGTAGATGGGGGTGCATCGGGCATTTTCGGAACTGGCGGCGAATATTGGATGAAGTCAAGTGGTTACAGAGTAAATGTTTTCAAAAATGGCGCCATATTCGGAAGTCCCTCCGAGTTCTGAATTTTCCGTTGCTCGCACTGGCTTGCAGCTAAGTAAACGGACTAGGAAAAAGCATGACGTTGGCCCCGTAGCTTCCGCAAGCAATCCTCGTGAAGGAGTGTCCTCTGTATTTTTTACCTCCTCGCTTGTGCTGACTGACCGAGAATTAACAAGTGTTTGAAATGCTGCAGGAAAGCTGCACCAGTACAAATGGGACAATGTTTTGTCTGCTCTTGTTTCTGGAGAGAGCAGAAAGTTGACAAAGCATCATTTTGTGATACAAATTTGACAAGACCAAATTTTAGGAATGTACATTGAAGCCGGGTGTTGTACATTCCTTGGAAAGTACCGGAAAAAATACTTGTAAAAAAAGTACACCCGCCGGCAATATGAAGGTGAACACCTTACCTGGTTTCTTGCCTGTTTTACGGCTCCCTAAAGCTATAGTAACTCTCAGCGTCTCAAATGGTACGTGGCTTGGGGTCTAAACTTTGCGTTCTAGCCCTCTTCTGGAACAGAGCTTGTTCCAAAACTTGCAGGAGCGTCAAAAACAAGAAGAGGGCTGTTCACCTTCATATCGTTCACGGGTGTACATGTACACACTCGGAGAAGGTACTTCAAGTAAAGTGCAAGTTTTCGATACCTGTTTTCACCTCAAGAACCACAGTAAAACAAGTCTGGCTACTCGCGGATCATTACTAATTTCCGCCTTTATGTGGTCAATGTAGGTGCATTTTAGATTATATGCACCTACATATATAAAATGCACCTATATGTAGGTACATTTTAGATTAGATACATGTTATCTTATCGAGACGTCCACGTTCTAAACGCTAAAAGCATCGCTTTTTCTTCCGACAACCAAATCTCGAAAGAACTACTTCGTGCCGCATATGAATAATGCGCAAAACTTCCTTTTTTCTTGAGGTGAAAACGGGTATAAACCTACTTGAAATAGTATTTTCAAAGACAACTCTGCTCACTTCTGAAGATTTTGTGAGAATGATTGATTTCACATTAAAAAGCAGTAGTAAAAAACACTACACTATTTGCTTTGCAAGAAATGGGATAGAATTGTTCAATATAATTTTAAACACGAGCAGAAATCGAAACCAAAACTTCGGCTCCCGTCCGGCAACATTGCCCTTGGGCCGCCAAGAACATGGCCGTTATGTGGTACGAGATGTCATGTGATCCACTACACTATGACGGGTGGGACAGGGGTGAGCGCTTGCCAGGTGCAAGTGTTGTCTGCACCGCACTCTTCACCACGTTTTGGTGTCTGCAACGTTCAATGACGTCTGCATAACTGCGGCAAAAGTCTGCGCACGTAGTGTCTGTAGTGTGAATGAAACTCCTTGAGACGATACAAACGGTGAGACGACGACGGCGGTAATGATGGGATCACAGCTGGACGGCTCCCAAGAAGCGCGCTGCGGAGGCGTGTTACGCCAGTTGCGTGGACACCGCCGGGCACCGAGAGGAAACGTCACTGACGTCGCCCATTACGCTTACCCGGAGAAGCAAACACAAGCAAAAAAGGGCAATGGTGACGACGTTTAGCTCAACGTTGGCTACACCCACGCCCTAGTCTCGACTGCGCCGTCAGGTGTGCCTCGATTCGCCCGCTCGAGTTGTCCGATTTTGGCAACTTGGTGAGTTGAAAAGCTTGCCGGACCGTTTAAGAAATGTTTAGACAGAACTAACTTGTAGTATTTGACGCATAGTCTTCCTAGGTGATACTGAAGCAGACTGCATTGTTTTTTCAAAAACGAAAATGAGGCAGAGTTGCTTTTAAGTATGTTGTACTTAAAGTATTCCCCAACACCAGGTAGGGGTACAGTGCCTGGAATGAGTGCCCGACTACCATGTTCATTGTGTCCTCGTTTCTGGTTCCTCGATTTCCACCCGGTGACATCTCACTTGTGTCATGTCGTTGTCTGCCATGATCCGGGCCACAACATAAGATATTGCCGCGCGTGTGTGGTGGAGAGGACGACGCTGGCGGTTGCCACGTATATGAGCGGGTTTTGGACTCCGCTCCAGCTGGTTCTCTCCTTCTATCTATCGAGGCTCTCCTTGAAAGTTCCAGTCCATTCTCGGGTACCGTCGTGCATTTTGGTTCAGAACATTCACGAATGTACTGTGGTTTAAGAGTAGCTGTGACACGGTGCTTCGGAACAGTGGCCCTTCCGTCGCAGAGGCAAGTTGTATGGGACTTTTCTCTTTGGTGTGTAGGCGCAGGTTCGCCCTTATAAATGTTTATTTTCAGTTCCACTTTCATCGCCCACTTCTATTTGTGACAATACATGTGGGCGGGGACACTGCACACGTCGCAGGTGGCGATCATCGAAAAGTAACCTCACCAAGTTACTTTTTGATGATCAACTTCCAGTTGCTTGCTGGGGCCCCCCGGTTTCCCACGCTTCTCTATGGGAGGCAAGCTTTTCCCTAAAATCGTTTTCTGGGTGTGCGACATCACATACGACTTGGTACCTGCGCTACGCATGTTGCTTAGACGCGGCTTTGTCCTTGACCCTAGTCCTGTGTCTCGACGGCAGTAAGAACCGTTTTATGAACGCTTCAAAGTGGATCTGCTGCGGCGTTCGAGCCGGCGGCCGTCAAGGTGAGAGCAGACGTGCCGAGCGGAATGTGCACGTGCGGAGGTGCCGTGGCAACAAGACACTTTTTTTGTGTGTTGAGACGCCGTCAAAATAGGCTACTGGGGTGTGCACCAACAGGACTATCTGGTCGATCGCGTCGCGGCTTTCACCGTTTTGAGTGTCTACATCTATGTATATCTTGCACCGTGGTGGTGGCGCAGCTTCAGAAGTGTATGCGGCAGACGCCCAGTCTGCTGCGAGTCGCTCTCCTGCTCGATGGTCCATGGAAGCTGCGGCCGCCGAGAGTCAGGACGTGATGACGATGACATTTGCTCTAGAACATCCTTTTTGCCGGAGCATCCGTTACCGAGCACCAGGGTTGCAGCATTCCATGGCGTGGCACGCTGGCTGCCCAACATACTTTGTTTTAATTTCGGAAACATTTTCAGTAGATGGGCGGCGTACGATACTGAACAAACCAGTCGAAGACGCGTTCCAGGCACTGTCAAATATCAGCTAGTGGCTAGAGTATGAAACGGAGTGCAACTAAAATCTGTGGCAAGTTCCTAGTCAATTATGTTGCATACGTGAAACGTTCTAGCATCACAAACGTTTAGCTGTACTCTGAGCTTCCAGACCCCAGACACCTACATTCGCGGCACTCTTCATCTGATAGCTTAACATGTATCATGTGTACACTTGATAGTTGTTCCCACAATGAAGCAATACGAGCGCTAATCGGGCAGATAAACCCGGCGATCTTCTGGAGCCTTCCATACTCTCGAGCTCCTCTTCCTCAGTGCACACAGATAGTCGAGCTTCACCTCGCTTACCATTGTGCACCTCACTCCTCGTCTCCGACTTGTCAACCAATCAGTGTTGAGCCTCGCCGTCACGCTTTTATCCAGGCTTCACTCCTGGGCTCCACAAAATGCCAAACACCTAGCCAAAGAACATTCTTTTAATAAGAACAGCACCATTTACTTGATGCTCGTTAGTCACTATTAAAGGGTAAGAGCGACCTCTGTCTCCAACGTCACACTTACGAGAATGAGTGACGGAAGTGGAGAAACGGGATAAGTGTCTGCTGACTCTCGTAAACAAACACTCTAGCTTTTCGTTTTCTGTTGGCAAGTATGAAAAAAATAATCGAAAAATGAGAAATAGCCCATGAAAATGTTTGCATCGATTCCAGAGGTCAAGAGCCACTAAAAATTCTTAGGGTCTCTGATGTTATCCCTAAGACGACTTGAAGGCGAAAGCCTAGGCGCCGATCTTGGTGATAACGAACCTCTCTCACGACACACTCTTGGTGCCGTTAATCTCATGGCATGTCACACGCCCGCCCTTCACCGCTGCCCAAGCGAGAGTGTCCTCCTCTCCCGCTGGGTTTACGCAGTGCGCGCGTGCCTCCGTTGATTCTGGCACAAATAACGACATCTTGTGGTCCAGTGGCAAACCGTGGGTTTTGGTACCTTTTTTTGTCGCCAATGTTTTTTCGCACCTTTTGTGTCGGCGACGTGTTTTCATACTTTTCGTGTCGTTGACGTGTTTTCGCTCAAGGACTTTGAAGGTCGACTAAATGATGAGACATATAAGGCTTTAGCCTTAATGAGCAGAAATAAGTTCGCCGACGGAGTGAGAACGGCAGGGCACGTCTTCCGAACACTCAACTTGCTTCGGTTGTGCACGTATGCTCCAGGTCCACAAGACGCCAAAGTGTCTCGAAAGTAGAAAGCTTGCGCTGGAGGCAACTGAAACTTCTCTCACCCGTTCTCACCTTGTCAGTGACTTTAGAAGCAATGCTGGCAAAAGGACAATGCTCAACGGAGCCTCGTGGGAGCCGGTTTGATCCGACATGTTCATAATGCTCTTACAAAAGAAACGAAATTTAAGACGACTCATTCTTGGCTGCAATGAGTTCAGTGAATGAACACAGTCCAATTTTTTTGTTTTCTCCCCTCTGTGTTACAGGAAGTGGTGCAGGACTTTCAAAGCTCGGTGCTTCAGGTCCTCGACTCTCCGTACGACAAAGAGTGAGCATGCCCCTTGTCTTTTCACATCTTGTCTGCTTGTGGATCTTTGGTCTCTTGTAATCAAAGCTCGCCCGTCTGGTTTTCCCTATTACTTACATCAGTCTGTCATTTGCTAATAAGGCAAAATGTGTTGTAGGCTGGTTTCTAAGCTTAGCTCGTCACGAAAGGATATTCTGAAAACATGTCAATATTGCCAAGCTCCCCCCCTTGTAACTTTATAAGAAAGCCAGGTGACTTTATAAGAAAGCTTGTTGCCCAAATCGCTGCACAGATTGTCGTTGAAATGCGATGCCATTTTGAACCCCCTTGTACTGCATCAACATTTCTTTATTAAACTACTTAAGAACTGCTGCGGAAATTCTAGAAACATCTTTTATTGACGTCCGCAAAGTCTTCCATCATATTTAAAACCAATTCGCATAATTTTCTGATTCAACCCTCTACTTTCCACCGACAGGCTTCCATAACCTACCAACGACTTTTAAGGTAGCATTGCTGCAATTGAAGTGTTTCTCTCTTTTTGTAGGAATATAAACATAATGTGTATAAAAACATAATAAGACCCTCAGTAACTGTATTTACGATTCCAAAACTTATACTACATGGTGTTTTTTCTAAGAGTGACACTAATTTACAAAAAAAAGCCATGAAAGTTGCACTTTCGCAGTTTGTGCAGATGAGTTATACGGCCAGGGGGACATATTAGAGAGCTAATTGTAACGATCAGTCAAATAAGTAAGTAAAATTTAATAATTAACTTTTTAATTAGTGGAAATAGACATATGGTTCCAGTGAGAAACTTGCTGAGTGTCATCGAAAACCACTAAATCGCCAATTTTCAGAAAGACTGAGCGCATGATAAGCGTAGTAGTGCTCTAAAATTACCACTTGTGCTGCAGGAGCTAGGCTACCGGTGCGATAATGTGCTTGCGCAATTTTTCCGTCTCTTATGGCCGATTCACACGACGGACTGATCCGCGGACGGATTGATCGCGTGACGACATGTCCGCGGTTCTTCCGTCTCCCAAGCGCATCCACACGAGGGAGACGACAGGCAGACGCCAGCGAGGATGGACTGAACCTGTTCGCCACCCCACAGTGCCGCAAAACTCCAATATTGCACCGTAGCACAGTTGTCCAAGAGAGAAATCTATGTTTGCTACCGCGATAAAGAATCATACGCTGCTGTTACGTACAGATCGAGACAAAACACCGTGATAGGCTTCACGCGAAGCGCCACTAGCTTTACTAACCCAAAACATGAACGTAACACAGGCATGGCCATACTCGATAAGGGTTTGGCGTAGAAGCAATGAAGTTCTCGGCTCGCGGAGGGGCGTTTGGAGATGCCTTCATGCACTCCGCGCTCTTGCACAACACTCAAGCACATCACAGCCACAAGAGAGGTCTTGCTCGGTGAAATCCTGATTGGACGTGCAAGAATTATTGCGGCGTGCTAGATGAGTCTTGACGGGAGATTCTTGACGCGGACCTGGAGGAGTTTCTGTTTCTGCAGTTTATTTCACGCGTGGAACCAAGAATCACGCGACAAAATGAGCCAGCGAACGCACAAAACACAACGATGTGCCATTTTTGTTTTAATCGTCCAGAAACAAAAAACAAAGGAAACCATGTACCGTTGGCAGACTAAACGCTTTTCAAGTCAATCTCCCGCCAAAAATTCGCGAGTGAAAAAGGCGTTTGACTTTATCAGTTTGTGCGTCCGCGGACGAGGAGCGGATTGCAGGAATCGGTGATGGTGACGGTCACGTCGTACACTCTCCGCAGACGAAAATTGCGATTCGGTCCGTCGTGTGAATCGGTTATTATCAGTGCCCCGACCCTGTGCTTGCTGCACAACCTTTAGTGCACTACTACGCTTCTCACGCGCTCAAAGTCTTTCCAAAAATGATTGAGTAAGTGGTTTTTGATGACGCTCAGTAAGTTTCTAATTGGAACCGTATGTCTATTTTCACAAATTCAAAAGTTAATTAACAATTTTGACCTATTTAGCCGACTGATCGTTACAACAATTAGTTCCATATACTATGTCCTGCTGGCCGTATAACTCATCTGCCCAAACTGCATAAATGAGTGTCACTCTTAGAAAAGAACACCTTATATATTGTATCACATTCGTTGGCTGCATTACCCCCGCATGCATAATTGACGAATGTACTTAATTGATGTGTGCTGCCTGTTTTGTTAGTTACTAACTGATACACGGTGGTAATGGGCCAAACTCTGGCCGAGTTGAAAATGTAGTGCCGAATCTTTGGATCTTTGGAAGCTGAACTTGGACCAATCTTTTGCACAAATGTGGCGTAAGTTTGGCAAAATCACAAAGTTGCTAAGCACGTTTGCGAAAAATCAACGAAGGATTTGCAAGAGTGGTCACACTTGCGAGCACACGCTGGACCTGTGTAAGCGGTTATGGCTGCCAACAGCGATAGCGCACCGTCTCTTTCGCACTTGGCTTAGCAATCGCCACCACGCGGAAACGGAAAGAGAAACCAAAACTTTAGTCTTTACCCATGTCCGACATGATGCAGCAAGCGCGGGAGCTCTGCAGGAGCTTAGAAATCGGCCTCTGCGCCCATTGATCACAGGCGATTGACTCTTTACTGTCAAGACCGGTTATAACGAATTCGGTTATAACGAAATAGCGGCCACAGCGAATCGATCACGGTTTCCCATTCTCTTTTATACTTCGTTATAACCGAAGTCAGTTATAACGAAATACCGTATGTAGCGAAGTGATTTCCGATTCCCGTTGACTTCGTTATAACCAGTCTCGACAGTATGGGCGCAGTCAGAAAAAAGTTACAACTTGATCCGATGAAGCTGAGAGGAGCTGCGAATTACTTCGTTAAATCGGGAGCTTTAAATCGAAAATGGCATTTTTCAGGCAATAAGTTCGATAAACCTACTTTTAATGTGCAACTGCATCGAGAGAGCTGCAGCAATACTGCATTCCCGTGGCGCTCACGTGCCGAGAATGCGATTACATGCATATGAATTCAGTCCATAAAGACGACCTGCACCACTAATGCCCGAAGGAAATTTTGAAACCAAAAAACAAATGAAGGCTTTTTTTTTTTTTTTTTTTTTGACACCACAATTTGTTTGTGAGAGTCAGCCAGGGCTCGCCATCAAGTCCACATACCCCACCAGAGCTGCAAAGAGAGATTTTTTTTTGATCCAAGTATGAATTATTTTTACATTTCCTTGCAGAGTAAACACGTTTCATATCTTCGGCACTTCATTTCATGGCGACGCAGAAGTCGCCGACGGGGCAAGCACACAACGTCGTCGTCTCTTTCTGATGCCTGGCATCCAGCGTGCACTTGTATTCTGTCGCGTGTCAGTTGTGCATGCACACTTGAAGGAGACGAGACGCGGAAGTGTCGAGTAGAAAGCTCGAGCTGGAGGTGTGACGTCTAAAACCCCCCTCCCGTTTTCATCTTCGCAATGAACACCCTAGCGATGTCCTGCCGTTCATATTCGCTGTGGCAGCCTAAAGCGCGAGACACATGGACGGCAGAATCGTCCGATCCGACGTCCGATCCGACAGTCCGAACGCCGCTCCGAATCGCCGTACGCGACAGTTTGAGACACACGCTTCCGACCTTGCATGCGACACGACGATCTGTTCGGCTCCGCCCAGGAGATCCAAGCACTCCAGCGGAGGTCCTCGTTCATAGATCTCTGGTCCCATATTGACGGTTTAGCTCGCACGAGCGAAGTTAAGAGCTTCTTCTCGCTAGCGCGTGCATTCTTTGCTGGGGCCATCTTTTTCGAATGGGTCAGCGGGATCCACGCGTCCGGCTTCCTGTCGCCCGTCCCGCCAGACCCAGTACGTCATCATGACGTTTGTGCTAGCTGTGCTGTCATTGGCTGGACGCATCCGACAATCCGTCCGCCGTGCGAAACTATCTGGTGCGTTGGACGCATGTCGGATCGCCGATCCGACGTCTGAAGCGACCAAATTTTTCGGATCAGGCAGTCGTATTGCCGGATCGGACGTCGGATCGGATGGATTTTTCGCGCATGTGTCTCGTGCTTAAGGACGGACCACTACCGAATGCGGCCGAACATAACCGAATCGAAACCGAACGACTGGAAAACTTTGTCAGTGCCATCTGTCGCGTGTGACATGACTGAAACGCCAGGAAACAGCTAGCGCCATCTTACTAGAAGCCCCAAGTGCTGAGTTTCTTTTTGCGAAAAGCTAAGCTAGGGTCACGCTACCTTTGTGCTGGCTGTCAGCAACAAACTTTCACGCATTCTAAACAAAATACACCCGAAATTGGTTCTTTTTACATTTATTTTTTTCAAGGAGCACTTTGTTACATTGAGTTTTGCAAAAATGAATTTGAGCAGTATACTAAAAATAAAAAAAAAAAGCTGGTCTTTGCTAGTCTTTCTTCTTCTGATGAAGAAGAAAGACCAGCAAAGCTGTACTATGGTGGGATAGAAGTATTTATAAAAACTGTTCAGCTGGCGTGGTGTCCTGTCATTGCTGGGCCTCGCGCTTGTGCTTGGCTTCCGTGGCACGATGGTCGTCCGTGGCATTGACCGGCCGGCGCGGGTCACATCGCCGCTTCTGCTCTTAGGAGTGTTCGAGGCGAGCAATCTGCTCTTCTTTCACAAGGGATTCGGAAGCACTCGACGCAGTGCAACTCGAGGCGATAGCGGCTTTTGCGGCGTTCGCGCAGCCATTCACGCTGCTGCGCATGTCGCCGCTGCTTGCACTCCCGCTCTTCTTCCTCCGAACGATCGGCATGCTGCCGACCCATCGTGAGTCCGAAGGGCAACTGATAAGAGCGCTAGCACAACCTCGATGTCACGGGACACAGAACACACATGGTTGGTAGGTGAGACGATGACATAGCTTGACGGTCAGCTGGCTCGAGTTTTGTGTCGAGACGCCTCTTGTCCACGGACACGATAGTGGGGGAACTAGCCCTTAACAGCTTTGCTGTAAAGGAGGCTTACAGCCTAAATATTGTGCAAGAAGGTTTTCTTTTGTTTTTCAGGGAGTGTGATTTTTTTGACATACGTGTTCTATCGAGGCACACAAAAAATGTTTTGTTGTTGCTTTCTACTTTTTGTTTTAGGACGGTGGAGAACATGCCCACGGTGCACTATGAGTTCCCCAACGGCTACAACCTGGATTTCGGCTCAGAGCGCTTCATGATTCCAGAGTCCCTCTTCGACCCCACCACCATCAAGGTAACAGTGGGGACCCTCGACCCTCCCTTTGTCCCCACCGTATCAGATCAACTCGGTCATAGAATGCCGCCGTTATGGTGCCCGAAACGCTTTCGCGACCGGTATGTCTAGTGTCGCATTTTGTCGGTGCATCAAAAGTAGTCCCGAACTGGCGACAAATCGCGTCGCAGGAGCCAAGGTGTCGCGCCGTCGGACGTCGCAATCCGAACGGTCATTTGTAGAAGCTTCGGCAAAAGGTGTGGGTGAATGCCGCCGCCTTCGCAGCGTCTCGACCGCCGGCTGCCAAAGTGTCCGCGGATCGTCGTCCTGAAGAGCAAACTGCGGCAGAACGGGCGCCTGCTACGTCGACTGTTGCCACCGCGACCATCGCTGATACGACGTTTGACGGTCGACACGGCTGGGGACGACGCAACACATTTATGACGTCGCTTTGGCAGAAATCGAAAGACCACGTGGAAGCGGGACTCCTTTGCGCGTTGCCTGCGAAGGGGCGCACGCTGTGCATTAGGAGATGCTGTCACCTTTGTCGTCTACATTGGTGCTTCTGGACGACGAGACTATTTTAAGGGGTGACACTACCCATAATAGTCAACTTCTATACCGCTTGCTTGATTTCCATCAAATTTGCAGTCAAAGTTTTTATGAGTGGCAAGACCATCCCTGCCAAACTTCATTGTCCTACATCCATTTTGAAACTTGTTAAGAATGTTACAATATGGAAGTCAGTGTGTTCGCTTAAGAAAGCTATCGTTTTAAAATAAAATAAGAATTTGTGATTTTTATGTGTAATATAGTCATAGGAATACCGATAGTACATACCCAGCTAGTTATATTGCATTGTTTTTCATAAGTATAACTCCATAAGAAGATTAAAATGTTTTTTTTTCATGTCTGCACTTTTTTACAAATCGTTTTTTTTTAGCATAAAATAATGTTAAAGCTGGAAAACTAACCAGCCAGGCATGTTTTTTACAACATGTTATCCCAGAAAACCACCTAAGAATAATTCTCTATTGTGTTGTAGGTTTGTTTTCCTAAAGTGAAATTTTTGCCAAAAAGTAGAACATAGAAAAATGTGTTTAATGTGCTTTAACCTCTGCCTTTTTTTTGGCATCGGTGGGTCGAAAATAATTTATAAAAAATTAATATTGCAGTGTAAACTAATGAAACTTTTTGGGAATGCCCTCTAGACGTTTGTGGATGTTAATATGGCATTTTTCAAAATCAACTTTTTCTTTGCAGAAATTTTCTTTTTTGGGTAGTGTCCTCCCTAAAGAATGTACGAGTTCGTCGTTTGCGTCATGTTCTGAAACGAACTGTGCCGCAGGTGTCGAAACACATTCAAAAGCCCTCGCCTGCCAAAGTCGGAAAGAGAAGCGTCTTCATGCATGGGCAACACGTTTATGGCAGACTCGCCCAGATTCACTTAGTCGCCGACCGGCCAGTCTCTACTACGGGCTTCACCGCGTATTTAAAGTGCAGAGCCGGCTTTAGTTGAAAAGCTGCGGCTAGGAGTCGACACTGTTTTGAAGTGCTCTCCGTTGTATATTGTCTATGGGAAGTTTTACGGCTGGTGTCGTCTAGTAACATTGCCTCCAACCAACCAACCTATTGGGACTTTAGTACGCCGCTCCCTATACAGTGCTTGGAGTGCGTCTGTTTGGTGTGAGTAGCCTCAACACCTGCTCTGCATCGGTCTACCCATGAAAACGCAACAAGTTGCATGACTATAGTCTGTCGTGGGTTAAGGGAGGACACTACCCAGAAAAATAAAATTCTGCAAAAAAAGTTGATTTTGAAAATGCCATATTTACATTACTAACATCTAGAGAGTAGTATTCCCAGAAAGTTTCAATTGTTTACACTGCACAGTTATTTTTTTTATAAAAATAGGTTTCGGTCTATTGATGCTAAAGGAAAGGTTTAGGTTTGAGCACTTCGAACACAATTTTCTCGGTTCAGCTTTTTGGCAGCAAATCCCACCTTAATAGAACTATCTCTTCAGTATGAAACAATCGAGAGACTTAATTTTTGCAGCTTATATGCTGAAATTTTGCGGAGCCGGTTGATCATTGGTGACCCTCCTTTCGAGCATTCGCTCTGCTAAAGTGTAAAGAGTGAAGGGCTCTGTGGGGGCTCTGCACCACGTAATGAAATGCTGGTGCCGACAAGACAGTCGGCGAATGGAGTATCGGTATCCTCGCTTAGCTTATTGATTGACTCTTGACTGTAACAGAAAGGAACTGCAGTGGTTTGGCTGTGGTTCGTGAAGGACGAGCTTGCTCTCTTGCAGGGCGCCCCTGGTACGACCATGATGGGAGCAGCACAGGTGGTCACAACCAGCGTGGGGATGTGCGACATCGACATTCGACCGGTGAGTGATCGCTTTCCGCCTGGTGACCCCGTTGTTTTTTCCTTTTTCGATTTGTGCTTCGTTTCCTTGCGGAATTTTCTGCCTCCTCTCCCACTTTCTTTTATGAGAAGCATCATTAGTGATATTTGCAACCTGAAAATTGTGTGAAAAGTTGAAAAGAATTGTAAAAAAAGAGTGATGAAAAACATGCAAGGTTTCTCTTCTATATAAGCTGTAAATGAGAAACACTCAAAAAATTTTTTTTATTTTTTTTTTTGCCACAAAAATAAACTTTGCGTCGCCAAACGCTTAATTTTCGCCCAAACGTAGCTCTAGTGGTTCGAACCAGATGCCAGCGTTTCAGAACTAACCCTTATGTTATTTAAAAGTTATAAGTTACTTTTTGGAAAGTTTTTGTGGGAAAATGGGGAGCCCTTGTACATGGAGATAAATTGTGCCAGTTACCAAGAACAGGCCCCATTTCCTCATAGGAATTTTCAGAAAATTTCTTATAAATTTTGAATGAGATGATGGTTAGTTTTTGAAACTTTGGCATCTGGTTCGAATTGCTAGGGCAACATTGGGCAGAGGTTAAGCATGTTGTTTATTTTGCAGAAAACAAAACAAAAAAAAACATTTTTTTAGGCAGTTTAGGAGGACACCTTTATTATGTACAGATAAGTTTTTCTAAGAGGGGAAATAGTCTTAAAGATGATGCCAGAAATAAAGAAACAATTCCTGCAAAATAATGTTTTGAACTGCAGCAGATGTCAGATTATGGGTTTAATGTGACAACTAGTAAGTGAATGACCTAAAATCCATAATTACCTTTGGAAGTATTCGCTTCAGCTGGCTCGTTTCATTCAGACATTTGTTGTCCGTTGTTAAAACATGCCATAGCAATAGTTTGAATTCAGACAACTAGACTTTGGTCTGCCACATTCTGTGGCATATTTTTAAATTTTGATTTTTTTTTTTTATTATTGTTATCTTACCACCTTGAGGTCTTTTTTTTATAGTTAGTTATGGGGAGAGAACTGTACACGTCCTGCTGCACATTTATATATATATATATTTTGGATGCGCTAGCATTTATTGCCCCGGTGCATGCTGTCGTCTTTCATTGAACTGTTGTGGTTTGGACTGCACTGAACCGGACCAAACGGGACTGGTTTGGTGAGGCCACGGTGCGGTTCGCAGTTCCCGCCATGCTCTTTCACTCCGTTCGTTCGCTCGTTGGATCCACTTTCTCTCTTATAAGGAAGAAAAAGTCTTCTGGCCCTCTTCCAATGACGTTCCGCTGGAGCGGGAGAGGAGGGGATCGAGTGGCCGTAGTCGTACGCGATAATGTAAAACCGAGGCGCAGCGACGGCGCCGGTTGCGCAAAACCGCCGACGCCTGGGAGGACAGATTGGGTCTCCGACCGAAAGCAACAGTATGCGGACTGTTGCGAAGATGGCATCCCCATCCTTCGATGGGTCAGAACCCCCGCACTAAATGCCGACGCAGTTCATCGAGCATCGAGAGTCAGCGTAGCGACCGCACCGATTTTTATGTATTAATGTAGATACTGCAGGCTTCACTGAAAGCCATGGCTGAAGGGGTATACAATGTTATAAACACAAAGCAAAACATGAGCATACAAGAAGCAGTCTAAGAAAATGTGTCATTCTATTGAAAGCATTAAAGCTTTCAATTGAAAAAATTATCAATTCTAGTTTTGTATTACTTGGGCGGAAATTAATATTCAAAAGCTTTATCCGTATTGTTCGGTTGGTCTGGTGGGATTGATACTCAACAATCCGGTAGACAAAAAGGAGATGTATTTTTCGACGCTAATCGTAAATTTCCCATGGAGGAAGGAATACAGATATTTTTATCTATTTAATGTGGCACTACCTTCAGACGTTTGAGTGCTGGGAGATAGATTTATTGAATTGAATTGAATTGAAGTCTTTATTTCTTTCGGATCAACCGAAAGGGGAACAGAGACTAAAGGCAGAAAATGCCTGACGAAGGTCTCTGTCCCCTTTGCAGTTCGTACATACGGTACACTGTATAGTAAACACTCATACAGTTGTAGAACAATCAGCAATTCAAATAATGTCATAGCTTTATAATACATCATCATGAGGATCGCAAACTAGTAATATAGATTGTGAAAGAAACTTTTTCACAAGTTCAAAAAATAAGAACCATCAAATTGTACATGTATAAAAATGGCTATAAAACAGTGTCACTGCCCACCAAAAGTGTCCTCAGCTCTTTTTTAAATTTAGAAAAGGAGTTATTAAAATCCACGAAGGTCCCAATTGAATTTAATAATTTGGTCACCTGATAATCTTTAGTTTGCTTTCCGTAATTTGTTCGAATCTGTGGGGGTCGTCTTAAAGAGTGCCGAAAGGTGTATCTGTGCTCTACATCACTTGTATTTTTATCATAAAGTTTCTCAGTTTTGATACGTTGCATTAACTTGAAATCATAAATTTGGTTAGCCTTGAGTATACCATGTTTTTTAAAGAGTGGCTCAGTTGGAAGGTCTTGCATATTTCCCGTGTAACTTTCAAATAACCGCAAAATTTTCTTCTGTAATTTAAGAATCTTATTGTAGTTTGTGAGCGTGGTGGTGCCCCATACTAAAATACAGTAGCATAACTTTGAGTAAAAAAGAGAGTAATAAATTTGTTTTTTTAACCATGTAGGAATCAGGTTTCTTATTTTATACAAACATCCAACTGCCTGAGAAAGCTCAGCAGTCAACTTATTTACATGTGCATTCCAGCTAAGCTCCTGGTTAAACCAAACGCCTAAAAGTTTTTGTTCGGAGACTTGCTCTATAATCGTGTTTTCGAAATACAGAGTTATTGGAGTATTATCATGTTTGTTTATTGGAGCAAAAATTATATACTTGGTTTTCTTAGAATTTAGTTGCAGTTTATTTTTATTGAGCCACACTGCTAATTCAGCGAGATAGCTATTTGCCATTGACTCTAGGGATGCTTTGGAGGCAGAGGCGAAAAATGCGTTTGTATCATCTGCGTATATAATCAGTTCTGGAGATCTAGGAATAGCAGTAATGTCGTTTATGTAAAGGAGGAACAACAAGGGGCCTAGGATAGAACCTTGGGGGACACCATATTTTACTTCCAACGTGGTTGAGAGAGAGTTGTTAACTTTGACAAATTGAAGGCGATTTGTTAGATAGTGTTTTATTAAAGCCAAAGCTACTCCTCGTATTCCGTACAGTTGAAGTTTACTTAACAAAATTTGGTGTTGAATCGTGTCGAATGCTTTTTTAAAGTCTAAAAAAACTCCCAGTGTGTATAATTTATTTTCCATGTTATATATTATTTTATCTTTCGTCTCAACAAGTGCCTGCTCTGATGATTTGCCCTTTTGGAAACCATACTGTGATTTGTTTATGACATCATGCTTTATAAAAAACTGATATAATCGGCTTTGTATAACTCCCTCAAATATTTTCGAAAATATTGGCAAGACTGATATAGGTCTATAATTTTGTAGATACGGTTTCCCTCCTTTAAAGACAGGGGTAACTTTAGCAATTTTTAGGGCGTCTGGGAATATACCCGATTCTAGAGTACAGTTTATTATATGGGATAAGATGTTACTTATAATTTTAGAAACGTATTTAATGGGAGTGGGTTTTATTTCATCTACGCCAGGGGCTACATTATTTTTTATCTTATTTATAAGACCTTCTATTTCTTGTGGGGTGGTTGGTGATAACATTATCGAATTGGTTATAGAGTGCGTGGTCATTATGCCACCGCGTAAGGGCTCATTGTCGGATTCTAAAGGTGCACCAACATTTACGAAATACTCGTTCATCGAATTACATAGTTCTATACCGCTCACATGATTCCCATCAATAATCACGTGATTTATATCCCGGGAATGACTATGCTTATTTGTTAAGGTGTTTACGGCTTCCCATATCTTCTTGGGGTCACTCTGAACGAGATAAAACAGGTGCAAGTAGTATTCTTGTTTGGCATTTTTTAAATCAGAGGTTAGTTTGTTTCTATATTTCTTGAATGCAGCAAGAAGTTCTTGGTCTCTACACTTAAGAAAGTCGTGGTACATTTTATTTTTTTCTTTAACGCGTGTGTATAAATCGGGAGTCATCCAAGGTTTGCGAAATTTATTTCTCCGCTTGTTAATTTGTCTCAGTGGGAAAGCTCTGTCGTAACAATGTTGAAATTTTTTTAGGAAACTGGCGTACGCAAGATTCGGGTTTTCTTCTAAATATTCACTGTTCCAGTCCATGACAGAAATGTTGTCGTGAAACCTTCTCAACGATTCTTCATCTATTTTCCTGTAACTGAAAGTTTCATTGTAAGAGGCACCAATCTTTCTATGAAGAGCCGAGAGACAAAAAATAGGTAAGTGGTCGCTGAGATCATGTTCAAAAACACCTGATGAGACCTCATTAGTATTTAGATTTGTTATACAAACATCGATAGAGCTACACCGTTCAGAAGTCACTCTGGTAGGCAGTGTCACCGTATTTATACACCCACAAGCAGCCAAGACATTCTTTATTTCAATAGAGTCACTTTCATTTCCAAGTAGATCTATATTTACGTCGCCCATAACAAAAAATGGTTTAGCAGTCGAACCGAGAAAATCAAGAAGGTCTTCAAAAATCGAGAGAAAAACAGACTTACTTCCCGCGGGGGGCCTATACACAACACTAATAAGGACGCTTCCAGCATGAACGACGAGACACTCTACATCAGAGGTGATCATAGAAAACTCATCAAGTACGTACCACGATATATCATCATTAAGGTAAATGGCAACACCACCTCCTCTTTTATTTTTTCTTCCCAAGCTCGCACATTTATAACCAACAAAACCAGGCGGTTCTACATCTTGAGGGACCCAAGTCTCCGTACAAAGAAGGACATCAAAATTTAGACATAATGAATTGAAAAACAAATTAAGGTCATCTTGTTTGTTGATTATACTTCTCGTATTAAAATGAATTAAAGAAAAGGCATTTTTGGTATTTTGAAATGTTCGGTTAAATGATGACTCGTCATAGTAGACACAGCCTTCCGTAAAAGTGGAAGTCATGAGATAAGAGCAACGCTTATCGGAACTGTTTTGGGACAGTCCGATTACGCGATCATTTTTTGAATATCACTTTGGTTCGCGATTCTGATGACAGCCGACGTAACATCTTTCTTTGCATACACTTTCCCTCCTGCTGTCCAGACAAATTTCCATCTAGTCTCGCGCTTGCGGGCGATTGCCGCTCCAAGTAGCTGCTTATTCTGCCTCGTCAGGTGCTCGTTTACATACATAGGATTTTCGGATCCCAGTGCATCAATATCTGAGGTCGTCAGTCGCTTTTTTTTGCATTTTTCAAGCAACGAATTTCGCTTGGATCGCTGAACAAAGCGTACTATGATGTTTTTTTCATTTCTTTGGGTGGGAACCCGATGGCAAATGTCAATATCTGTGTTCTCAACAGGTTCACCCACCAGTTCACCGATTTTCTTTACGATGTCGATTGGGTTGCCCATTACAGGGGCACCTTTGATCTCCAAGTTATTAGATCTCATATACTGTTCTAGCTCTTCCACCTTGTTCGTGTCTCCCACATTTATAGTATAATGTTCGTGTCTCCCACATTTATAGAAAGAATTAAGATCTAGCTTTTCTGAGTTCCTTCTTTTCTTGCAGAGCCTGTACGGCAGCGTGACCATCACAGGAGGCAACACCCTGCTCCAAGGGTTCACGGAGCGGTTGAACCGTGACCTCTCTGCTAAGACGCCTCCCGTAAGTGCTCTTTACAAACCCCCTGCCACTGCGAGGGGGGGGTGGGTCGGTAGCCAAGTGGACTAGCGCACAGCAGCTCGGAGCACGTCGAGCGAAAGCTCGCGCTGCAGAACTCGGGGAACCCGGGCTCAATCCCCACCCCTGCCCATTTCAATCTGGATACGCGTCGTACCGGCATGCGGTCGTGCTCATTGAAGATCCTAAACCGTGGGACTGGAGGGTACACTACCCACAAAAAGCTATTTTAGCAAAAAAGTTGATTTGAAAAATGTCATATTTACACATCCACCAACATGTAGGGAGTACTCCCAGAAAGTTTCATTAGTTTACACTGCATAGTTACTTTTTTTATAAATTATTTTCGGTCCACCGATGCTAAAGAAAAGGTAGAGGTTGGAGCACTTTGAACACATTTTTCTTCATTCCACTTTTTAGCATAAATTTCACTTCAGGAATACTATTGTTTTCTGATTACGTAATTTGGATTCATTTTTATGAGCTTTTCTGGGGTGAAATTTTAAGACAAAAATAGCTATGAGCTTGTATTTTTTATTTTTGTCATTTTTCATGCTCAAGAACTAAACTTTTGGACAAAGGATAGAAATCTATAAAACAGTATTTGTGTTTATGTCGCTTTTTTATCATGAAAGGTTGTATAATATAGAAATATAGCTTGATAGTTATCTGCTCTGAACCGTCCTAAAGCAATATAACACATGAAAACGACAAATTTATAAGTAATTTCAAAACGATAGTTTTCTTACACAGACACGCCCACTTTCATCTTTGAACATTCACAATTTTTTTGTACTTCACCCAGGTTAACAAAATTTGGTAGAAATTTTCTCAACATCAACATCAACAGAAACAAGCTCTGTAAATGTCATTTAAATCAGACATGTGGTTTAAACATTGAATTTTTTGGGTAGTGTCTCGCCTTAAAGGACACATGCAAAGGAAAAAAGAAACATTTTTGTAAACAGCCTGGTTGGGAAAAGGAAGTCATAAAACAAATTTACTACGAAAAAATAAAATTTTTATAGCTATATTTACGGCGTGATACAAATTTGTAGCTAGCGCCCGCGGGCGCCGCGAAAAATTGGCCGCTACCTGTCACGTGGGGCTTGTGTCCTTTCGGAAGCTTCCTATGGTCTCTAAAAGTTACTTATTCATCTTCGTTTGAAGTGCAACAAAAAACGAAAATTTATAAGTAACTTTTAGAGAGCAAAGGAAGCTTCTGAGAAAGTGCAAGCAGACGTGATAGACCTGTGCGCTAGTGAGATGGCGGCGGCGGCGGCAGCGGCGTGGTGAAACTCGTTGAACCGGTGGCGCGCCACGCTTGGCGTGCGGTGGCAGCGTGACTTTGAGGCGGCAACGGCACCGTGCGATGGCGCACAGGTGTACCACTTGACCCGCTGCGGCTCCTGCAGGCGCCAACTGCAAATTCGTTTTGAGCCGTAAATATTCACCTCGAGATCGAACCATGTTGCCACCGTGCGACCGAAATTGGAAACATGCGAAAGCGGGGATACCGCTGTGCGTCGTCTGCTACGGGCGCACGTTCAGAAGCATGGGTCTGGACGACGCAAGCCCGTTTTCAGCTGAGCGGGACCTTTCTTATTAAATATTTGAGGTTTTTGTTGTTGTTTCTTCTTACTAAAGGTTGTGTTCTATCGTTTCACATGCGTGGAAATTCAATGAAGCAATAAATATTAAGTGGGATGCGTCCATAATCTTAGTGCTGTGGTTTGTAGGACCTTTGGTCTTACATATTTTTGTAATCTCGCACAATCCATAGCTTTCATAAAACGTTGAATCTTGATTGGAGCTGGGCCTTCATTACCAAATTAATCCGACTGATCGCCACCTTTTCATAGACTAATCAATCAATAAATCCAATATTTGTTTATTTTCCAGTCATATTACATGAAAGACGTTAGAACTACACATTGTTTTACTATGTCATAAATGGCATATTCCAAAAGTTCATATTTTAAACTTCACATTGTGATGCCTAAAGAAATATGAATACGGGAAGCCTTTTAAAGTGACGTGATTTTTAAGTTACGTTTTAAACAGTATAATCACCCTCGATGACAATCACAAGCATGCTGAAGTGGTTTACCGTGCAAGTCTGTATCTTAAAAAGAAAGAAATACGTCAAAAAATTAAAGCAGATATTTTTTACTCTTTGTCGACTTTAATTAGCACAAGATTCCGATTAAACGGCAAAAAGAAATATCGCAATTAAAGCATCACTCGAATAATCTGAAGGTTAATCGGTGAACTGCCCAGTCTTACGTTAGGTGAGGGCAGAGGGTGATCGGAAAGTCTCATGAGAGTTGCTAGCCCTCATCAGTAAAAGAGTGTCGCTGCGGCCGATGCTGTCTGTGTCGTGGTGCAGGTCGTTTGTTGGAGTTGCAGAGTCTACTATGTTTGAATAGAAGATTATTTAGCCATAAATTGGTAATATTAGCCTCTTGACATCTGCGGCCCTCGCCAAGAAAATAAAAGCGGGTGGACCCACACTACCGAGAAAAGCATCAAATAACATGCACGCTACTGCGTTGCTCGGTTACACTTGTTTGTTCCATCCACGGTAAATATACTAGAATAGTTTGTTTCACTTATTTCAGTTGTCCTGCCAACGAATATGTTCCGGATCGTAACTACAAGAGGCATTCTCTCCTCATCGCAACATAGTAGAATTGTTCCGACTCCGAAAAACTTACCCACACCATGGCACAATAATAAAGGGAAACATCGGCTGCAGCGGAACTCTATAGCACGGTAATTTCCAATGCAGCACTAACTTCTCTTCATGCAAAGTATTTATATTACAACAAAAGCTAAAAGTGAAAAAAAAAAAAAAAAAATGCATAGAACCTGCGATTTCACAGCCCACAGTACCAGTATTATGGATTGGAATTCATTGTATTGTTGAATTTTCCCGCTGGTGAACCGATCTATCTATTTTAAAAGAAACAAATTATTAACATAAATAGTGCAGTTAACTTGGAGACAGGCATCTATCGTGGTGATGCATGCTTCCCAATGCCTGCCTAGGGCAGACGACGCGTCCACATGAGCGGTTATTTAAATTTAGGCCGTAAGCTGGTATCACAATTCGATCTTCACTGAAGTACCAAACAGTACGGCACCATTTTCCGCTAAAATTGTTTTCACAACGATAGTATGCGACAAAATAAACGTAAGAATCTACACCGTCTCGTGCGCGAACGTGGAGAGCCTATGGTGGCGGCCATGTTTCTATCCCCACTTTGATGATGATGATAGCGCGACAGTAGCACCACCTCTAAATCAATCTCGAGGCCAATAGCTTTGAAAAAAAGTAATTTTCGTTTTAAATTTATTTTATAGTATTCTTCTTTCATCTAGACTGTTTAAAAAATTTTTTTTTCCCTTTGCATGGTTTCTTTAAAGGAGCACTGACACATCAAAATAATTTTTTTTTTTATTATCCGAAACGATTGAAAACGATGCCGGGACATTACCCTCAAAATTTGAAATTTGGGAGTTCAGTATTTGTGAAGTAAAAAAACAATTTCCAAATGCCGAATTCGAAGTTCCCGCGCGATCGGCGCCGGTGCCTTGACGTCAAAAATCGCGGAGACCTAAGAGTCGACTTTCTTTCACCACTCCCTGCTGTTGCCATGGCGACCCAAAGCGAGGAGGAAAGGAGTGAGCGGCGGCGTTACGGCGGACCGGTTTTGAGCGGTGTCGCCTGTTTTCCGTTGGAGGATACAAATCCAGGAGACGGCACCACAACAAACTCCCGATTTTTGGTATTTCAAAAAGAAGGGCCGTAGTGCGTTCGCAATTGCGTTAAAAAACATGTTTTACGATTGCCGTAATTAAATGTTATAGAGATGTCGCCTACAAAGCTTCTAAATTTCCTGATTTTTGACGTCACCGATCAAAACAAGCGAGGAAGCGAAAGGCGGGAAAATCAAACGCCAAAAATAAAAAGGCGCGCGCGGGAAAATTTTTTTTTGCGATGCGGTTTTTTTTGCGTGTCTATGACTGCAACTTGCATCGTTTTAGACAATAAAAATAAATGCGACCTTTGGGGTGTCAGTGCCCCTTTAAAGAAACACTAACAAGCCCCCAATTTCTTTTTTTTTTTTTTTTTTTTGCCTGGCGATTTATTGTGGTGTCAGAAGACTACCCTATCAATATTTTGCTACAGCGTCTCATATATCTTGAATAAGGTCAAGAAACGCAACTGCTTGAAACCGAAACCGGACTGGGGAGGAAGAAAAATTATAGAGGAGGAGAAAGTTACAAAAAATCACGTGACTGTGCAATATTCTTTTTTTTTCAGTCAACATACTTATTTGCAGTTTCTTAGAAGCCACAAAAAATAGGTATCATATTTTCCGTCTATTCTTAGTATTGAGTGTGTGCCTTTGCTGGCCCACGACTTTAATTATCTTTGGTGGTTGTGTCTAAACCATAGAAAACTGTGCGTAGCCACGAAAAAGAGAGTGAGCGAGACTCGAACCGGCCGGTTCTTGATGGGCGGTTTTCGGGTGGAAAGAAAACAAATTTCGAGCCACAAATTGTGTTGGGAGTAGTAGGGCTCCTGTATGTTATGTACAAATAAAAACCTTAGCATAAATGCCCTGTCAGCATCCCTTTAATGTGCCAAATGTTTTTGCATCACTCTCAGGTAGCTGTCTGCAGCTGGTAGGGCGAGACAAGGATTTAACTGCTGGCGATTGCTTTCTCGAGTGTTGTAGTGAAGTGATGCATGCATACGCTTTTACGCAGAGCATGCGCCTGAAGATCATCAGCACCAATGGAACCGCGGAACGAAGATTCGGGGCGTGGATTGGTGGATCAATCCTGGCCTCTTTGGTAAGTCATGAACTTTATCAAGACACGAGACTTTGTCCTCCAGTTGCCATCTTTACGGTAACCATGCAGTTTTTTAACATGAAACGTGCTTTATGTACATCATAAATTTTTCGGTGTTTATACGAAAAATCAACTGAGGAAAAGGGTTTAACCCGACTTGGCCCAGAACTTTCTTTTGTAATTCTGCACTCTCCCGGAAAGTTCCAGACCATTCTGTCATCAAGTGTTCTGGTTCAGAACATTCCTCAACTCGCCATGTGCATAAAAGCAGCGATAACGCGCTACTCTGGTGTGGTCCCCCTTCCTTCGCCGACGCAAGATGCATTGTACCTTTCTCTTTAAGTTTGTAGGCACAAGTTTGCCTCATTAAACGTTTATTTTTAATTTCTCATTCATCTGCTGTTTTTATTTATTACATTATAGTTCGGGCTTCTCACCGTGTGAAATGTGGGCATTTTCAATAATAAAAAAAAAAAAAGAAAACCTGCACGGAAAGATGTTTGCTTCATACAATGAAGTAAACAAAGTTGCAGCTGCAACACTGAAAGTGCGGTTGCAAAGCATCCTTCTACATTTCTTTGAATTGTTTTTTGAAAAATTTAGTCAATACAGTCAAACCTCGATGTAACGAAGTTACATTGAAATTTCGCTACATAGAAATTCGGGGCTAACGTTAAAGAAAGTTTACATAAATGTTTCCCGGGTGCGCAAAAGCTCACCAAGGACGCCTTTATTTCTGTTGAAAGTAGTCTGACACTTTTTTCTGGGCCACTCTTTACATTATTATTGGCGTCACATTACGTCCGCATAGCCAGACGGCCTGCATCACGTCTTCGTCTTGCTGTATGTTTGCGAACTGCCTCAAGACATCAATCACGTCCACCACTTCACGGTTGTGGGGCACATCGCAAATGTCTTGCTCGTCAGGCTTGCTGTCGTCCCCGTCTTGTGAGTTCCCACGTGCTAGAGCACTAATACACGAAAAAGTGTCACTAGACCTCAAAAGCAGAAAGCATGGGCTGACCTGGGCAACGAGAAACGCACGCTTGTAGTTAGGCCTCGAAACAATCTACGCAGCGTGAACGAAACCGACGGACGAAATGGCGGCGGCTCTGGTGTTATCGAGATTCGCATACTTGTCCCCAGAGGCCACCCTCGCAGCATTGGGCCAGGTGGGCCAGTTGGGCGGCCCGTTTCACCCTTTGCGCTTTATCGGGGGCCTGTTTCAGCGCGTGTGCTTCTCAAAATCTCCTTTGGGACCGAAAAGTTTGTGCCGAATTTTCCATGAAATTTCGTTGCATTGAAATTTTAACAAACGGGACTTCTTTACATAGAGGTCAAAAATACATGGCGTGCATGCATTTGCGGTTAGAAAAAGTTATGTCGGGGATTTCGTTACATAGGACTTTTTACATTGAGGTTTGACTGTATATTGAATGCAAACGATGCTGCTTTGAAAAAAATAAATGATCGGAGCCTGTAAAGTCATCCAATTCTGTATAAAAATATCAGTCTCATTACTTTTCAATTGGCCCTTGTACATTCACAGTGCCTTCGGCATATGTCACGTAGCACATCATTCCAGTAGGAAGTGCTGCTCGTTAAAACCTCCATCAAGTGCTTTCATACCTGTATTGCACTTGATGCAATGTCTAAGTCAGGTGATTTTTATTTTTGTCTGAAAATATAGTAATTCTTGTTGTAAATTTGTGTGTTGCAGGGCACCTTCCAGCAGATGTGGATCTCGAAGCAGGAGTACGAGGAGGGAGGGAAGTCGCAGGTCGAGAGGAAGTGTCCCTGAGCGTTCCGCTTTCCCGACCCTGGAAGGAGACAAACACGCAGACGGCGGTTTTAGTTGTACATAGAGCGAAGCTCGACGCAATTCCCTTAAATAAAGTATGGGCATCTGCATGCCCGCTCCCACAGCTTCTCTGCAGATGTCCGGTTGTGTTACCTGGAGATAAGTGAGCGATGAAGTTTATAGATTTTTATTTATTTATTTAGCGATACTGCGGCTCTGGACTGAAAGCCGTACAAGGAGTGGTACAACGTTGGAATGTTGAGGAAATAAGAAAAGTTAGAAAGCCGTGTAAGAAAATTAAATGTACAGCAGTAAAATTGTCAATTGACTACTTCAAAAATCCTTCATGCAACACTTTGCACATTGCATCATGGGATCTCTTAGACATGGAGAGAAGTGGTGTGGTTTGATTTCGATTGACCCATTGATGAAGTAGTGCATCTCGGCACTGCATAAAAATAAAGTCGGCGCTCGCTGGAATCGCATCCATTCATTTTCGTGAGAGTCCCTTTTGAAACACGGACCTGGCCTAGACTTAAGGAGGAGTAAAAGTACAGCCGGCCGTGTGCCATGCCTTTCTTGTGGTCTTGCTATTCGCCTCGAGATCGAACCGTGTCGCCACCGTGCGGCCGAAATTGAAAACGCGCGAAAGTGGGGATATTGCCATGCGTCGTCTGCTACGAGTGCATGCTCAGAAGCATGGATCTCGACGACGCAAGCCCGTTTCAGGCTGAGCTTGACATTCCTTATTAAATGCTTTATGTTTTTGTTGCCGTTTCTTCTTACTAAAGGTTGTGTTGTATCATTTCCCATGCGTAGAAATTCAGCAAAGCGATTATTATTAAGTCGGAAGCTTCCATAATCTTAGTGTGTTGGTTTGTATACAATCGCTGGTCCCACGTATTAGTTATCTCGCATAAACCGTGGCTTTCATAAAGCATTGAATGTTGAGTGGGTCTGTGGTTTGATTAGAAAATTAACCCGACTGATTGCTATTTTTAATAGACTAATCAATCAATAAATCCGTATTGATTTTTTTCGTCGGTCATATTGCGTGAAAGACGTTAAAACCACACATTTTTTTTACTGGTTTTACTATGTCATAAATGGCATATTGCATTCCCATTGTAAACTTCACGTTATGAGTCCTACATAAATATGAACACGGGAAGCCTTTTAGGATGAAGTATTTTTTAAGTTATTATTTAAACAGTAAAATCACCCTCGGTGAAATGACAAGCACGCTGAAGTGGTTTACCGTGCAAGCCTGTGTCGCAAAAGAAATAAAGACGTCGAAAATATTAAAGCAGGCATTTTTTACTCCTTGTTGACTTTCTCCAGCACAAGACTCCAATTAACCGGCAAAAAAAAAAATTTGCAATTAAAGCATTACTTGATTCATCTGAACTGCCCAGTCCCGATATGCATTAGGTGAGCGCGGAGGGTGATCGGAAAGTCTCGTGAAGGTTGCTAGCCCTCATCAGCAACCCCGCAGGGGGCACCTGTGAAAGCAGGTGTTTGGAGAGTGGCGTCTCCACAGATCCCGAGCCCCGCAAGGGGCGCCTGCACCATAGGTGCTAGGTGCTTGGTAAGTAGTATCACCACGGACCCCAGCCACGTGGGCCACCATACCCGCACGCAGGGGGCACCTACTTTAGTAGGTGCTTGGTGAGTGGCATCACTACGAACCCTGAGCCATGTGGGTTCGCCCACCCACGTCTGGCTGTGCGTGGTGTACCCGTGTCCTGGGAAAAGGGCACCCTGGTGGTTGAGCTGAGCCCGGGGTTTGTTTGGACCCTTCGGGGCCCCCCGGGCGAGACAATACACCGCTTTGGCCCCTGCTTCTCGTAGACTGGTGTCCTGGCTTGGCCCGACCAAAATGATTCTGTCAGTCGCCTCTTCTACCCTCTTCTTTTTTCTTTCACTTTTCGTTCCACCTCTTTCTCTTTTCTTCTGCACTCTTTTGCTTCCTTTTTTACCTTCTTAGGCGGCAAGGGCTAACCTTGAGTGGAAACAGGTCCTGTCCCTGCATCTACACTCGGTTATAGTGCCCAGGCAGCACTGTTAATTGTGTCAGCCAAGCCTTTCTTGTTATGGCACATTACCTACCCCCTTGGGCTCCATGGTGGGCGGTGCACCCGGGCACTGAAATTCCTTCCCATCTTTATGGGTTCCAAAACTAAACCAACTGATCGGGCCCTGAAAAGGACTCGCACCGAAATCCTTGACATTTTCACTAAGACCCCTGATCTTTTCAAATTTCCAAAGTTTCTTGTTCTGCACTCTGTGGACGAAAAGCCACTGGCAAAACTTTCTCCTTTTTTAGTTTCCAAAGTGCTTGAAGGTGTTATTGGTGCAAACTTTAGCACCAAAAAGATGGCATCAGGCCATTTTGTGGAGGTAAATACAAAAAAACAAAGTGACTCACTTTTAGCCCTGAACTCCGTCTCAGACTACAAGGTCAGTGTGACCCCTCATCGAAAGTTAAAACACCATCCAAGGGGTCATCTCTGATGATGACTTGCTCGACTTGACAGATACAGAGCTGCTTGAGGGTCTCTCTGGACAGGGAGTTGTTGCAGCACGACGCATTACCATCCGTCGAGACGGCGTAGAACGCACAACAAGGCATGTTATTCTCACTTTCGACTCCGCGACTCTACCCACTAATGTAAAGGCAGGCTACCTTCTGTGCTGTGTCCGGCCTTATGTGCCGAACCCTCAGCGCTGCTTTAAGTGCCAGAGGTTCGGCCATGGGTCGCGGAGCTGTTGGGGCAGCGAGACCTGCGCCAAATGCTCCAGTAAGAAGCACGTTGCTGATGTGTGTGAGAACGAAGCTTAGTGCACTAACTGTAATGGAAAACATCCAGCATACTCCAGATCTTGCCCGTTATGGAAGCAAGAAAAAGAAATTCTCACCTTGAAGGTTAAAACATTTCCTACATTGATGCAAAAAAAGCGTTTTGCCTTTGTCTCCAAAGGCTCTTATGCCCAGGCCGTACATAGGGGACCGGTGCAGCCAATGGTTTCGACTGGAACACGGACGTCTACAGACGATCTGCGCCTCCCGTCGAAATCTCTGGCGTCCCCGGGAGCGGTGCCAGTGACACCACTTTCGAATCGCAAGGTGGATGCTGCCTCCTCAGCATCCACCTCGGGGCAGGGGCTGACCCCCCCCCCCCCCCCCCCCCCCCGCCCCCCCTGCTCCACCTGGCACTTCGGCCCCTAAAGGCTGAGGCCTACCCCCTCACACCTCTGCTCCACAGAGGAAGCCCGGGAAGCCGCCAATGCAGTCGACCTCCAAGGGTCAACTGCCGGCGGCAACAGACGAGCCCATGGACGTAAGTGGGCCCAGGTTCGAGGAGGATGCTCCCCTCTCAGGATCGGAGTCGCCTCTCTGTCGCCAGTGACCCCACTTGGAAAAAGAAAGATCCTCCAAAAAAGCAGAGTACCCCCACGTGTAAAAATAGATTTTAAACCTTAACGGATCTCCCTTTTAGGTCCCTCTTATATATATTTTTTTCGTCTCCAAATGGCAAAGAACTATAGTATTACGCAGTGGAATTGCCGTGGTCTTTTCCCTAATATTGATGACATAATTTTTTTAATTTTTTCTTTCTAAATTTTTAGAAAGGACCGGGCATCCCATGGCAATCCCTCTGGTGGAGTAGCTGTGAATGTGCAGAGTGGTATTGCCTGTGCTTCTGTTCCTCTCACAACCTCTCTAGAAGCAGTGGCAGTTCGTATTCTTCTTGACTGCCTTATGCTTGTTTCACTACTTGCCACCAAATATTCACTGCATTTACATGACCTGCATGGACTTGTAGCGCAACTTCCGCAACCTTTTCTAATCTTGGGGAATTTTAACGCCCACCACCCCATGTGGGGTAGTGCTCGCCAAGACTCCTGTGGTGGTGTCATTGAAAGTTTTTTATTGTCATCCGGCCTTTGCCTTTTAAATGGACATGATCCTACATTTTTTTAGTGCAGCTCATAATACTTTCAGTTCCATCGATTTGTCTCTTTCATCCCCAACTTTACTTCCCTGTTTTTCTTGGAAGGTTTTAGATAACCCTTTTGAGAGCGACCATTTTCCTGTTATTTTAGAAAGTACTGTAGATCCTCCTTCACTTTCAACACGTATCCCCAGGTGGATATTAGACAAAGCTGACTCGGCTCTTTTTGCATTGGAAGCAGTGCTTGACCCAACTGAACTAAATTTTAGCTATGATTCCGGAAAATGCCACCTTGTATGTTACTGACCATGTCATAAATGCTGCTTCTGCCTCCATTCCACAAACATCGGGAAATCTTCCTAAGCGCTGCAAGCCTTGGTTGACCAAAAACTGTTCTGTTACGCTTAAACGTCAAAACAGGGCCTGGGGCACTTTCTGCCGCTACCGAGTGGTCTGGAACATGATAGAGTTTAAAAAATGTAAAGCAAAGGCTCGTTGGACAAGGAAACGAGCTAAGAAAAGCTCATGGATGAAATATGTTTCCAAGGTGAACAGTTTTGTCACTACTAAGGAGGTGTGGGACCTAATCAGAAAAATTGGGGGTAACTACTTCTCTTTTAGGACGCCTCTTTTTCCCTCGGCTTCGCCAGCCTTGAAAGGCCAGGCAAATGTTCTTGCAGAACATTTTTGTGAAGTGTCTAGCTCATCTAATTATTCGGCAAAATTTAAGAAGTTCAAAGCTGTAGCAGAAAAGCAGCCAATTGCTATGTCAGGATCAGACACTCTTAGGCCGGTTCACACATGCAGCGGAGCGCTAATGTGGCGCTACGTGAGCGCTGCAAGGAGCGCTTATGTGGCGCTTCCTAGCGCGTGATGTAGCGCTTGGTTAGCGCTTCAGTAGCGCTCTGTTAGCGCTTCAGAAGCGCTTTGTTAGCGCTCTGTTAGCGCTACAGAAGCGCTTTGTTAGCGCTCTGTTAGCGCTTTCATGCACGCTCCTTGTGCCGTGCTTGCTGCTGCGGAACAGCGCGTGCACGGCGACTCCTTTGTTGTTGTTTTTCCTCTGGCATCGAAAGAAGAGGAAGTAAAACAGCCGCTCTCCAAGCAAAGGGTCGGGCAGGCGACCCAGAGTCATGGACTTTGAGCGACTAATTGATTGGGTACGACCTCATCGCT